CATTTTGCAGTTCTCAAAGAATACTGACCTTGGATCTACTTCCTGTTGCCTTCTGATCAAGATGTAGTCAGCACCATGTTTGCCTGCATGCTGATAATGGACTGAACCTCTGAACTGTAAGTTGCCACCTCAACTAAATGTTTTCCTTTATAAGAGTTGCCATGGTCATGGTGTCTCTTCCCAGCAACAGAAACCCTAACTAATACAGAAGTTGGTACCAGGAACTAGGGTATTGCTGTGATAGGCCTGACAATGTTTTTGTTTGGAGGAATTTGGACTTTGGTATTTTGGGGCTGGAAAGCAGTGGAATGCTTTAAGCACTGCTTAATGGGCCATACTAGTAGGAATATTTAAGACAACAGTGCTAAGAGTTATTTGAACTGTGAGGGACTCACTCAATATGTGTCACAGAAGAATTTTAGTATGTTGCCTAGAAATCATTCTTGTGATATTTTGGTGAAGAAAGTAGCTGTCTTTTGCCCTTGTTCAAAGAGTCTGCCTGAAGCTTAAGTAAAGAGTTTTGGACTAATTCTGTTGGCAGAGGAAATCAAAATAGCCTAGGATAGATTTTGTCATGTTATTATTGGTCATACAGAGTACTAACTAATTGTAGAAATAAGCTTCATCTAGCTTCCTGTGTATGTTTTTGGGTCTGAGTCTAAAGCAGGTAACTATGAACTAAGTTTGTATAACCTAGATGTATTTAATAGATTGTGTGTGTCATCTAACTTTTTGGAGATCTGCTAAATATGACATTTAAAATGTTTAAGTTTTCTACAATAAACCACAACCATTCCTAACAGTAACCTTTGAGGTCTCCAAGAGGATGATGGGACACTGCAACAATGAATCCACCTGGATTGTGACAATGCCACTAAGCTGACAAACACCACTGAAAGATGGACTACAAACTGCTCAGGACATTCAAATCACAGAGTTCATATAAGACTAACACAAATACTTTACAAAACTTTGAACTCAGAAATATGTAATCCTGAGACTACCAAATACAACCAAGCTGGACTTTGTCAAAAGCTTGACAGAAATAGCTTCATTACTACAAATAGTTTTACTGTTTGAGTTAAAAACTTTCTTTTTTTATTTAGAAAAAAAAGGGGGGGAAATGTTACAGGATATTTGATCACAGTGTGAACTCTGAGATTGTGTTATTTGTTGTGGAATATTACTTTAACTAGGCAAAGATGTGTTGTATTTGATTATGTTGCATTTGTTTAATTATGTAAAGATGTGTTGCTGTTTGACCTTGCCTGCCTAAAGCACCTGATTGGTCTAATAACAAGGGGAACAGCCAATAGCTAGGCAGTAGAGGGATAGGCGGGGATGGTGGGCAGAGAGAATAAATAGGAGGAGAAATCTAGTCTCAAGGAGAAGAGGAAAGAATGAGGGAGAAAGAAAGAATAAGGAAACACCCAGAGCTAAAAGTCAGATGACCACCAGCTAGCCAGACACAAGAAACAGGAAAGTAAGATATACAGAATGAAAGAAAAGTAAAAAGCCCTGAGGAAAAACATAGATAAAGAGAAACAGATCTTAAAAAGAGCTAAGATAAGGCTGAGCATTCATAACTAATAACAAATCTCCATGTCGTAATTTAGGAGTTGGCTGGTGATCCAAAAGACAGCCTGCTACAGTTAATTACTGGAAAATCTGCTTCTAGCTGTGGTGTGGCTCAGCCTTTGCACATACCTTTAATCCAAGAGCTTTCTGCTTAAACAGGAGTATATAAAATCAACCACAGGTCAAGAGGTGGAGCAAGCAACCAGTTGACAGGAAAAACCATAGAGAGTAGAGGAAGTCAGAAGGATAGAGAGACACACAAGAAGTAGAAGGGGGAGACAATCTGTTGGAGGAGTTTTTGTTTGAGATGTCTAGGAGAAAGCTCTCTTTCAGCTCTCTCTCTGAGCTGACAGGTTTTCACCCCAGCATCTGGCTCCTGAGTCTTTATTGATAAAAGAGAATGATAGACTTAGTTAAAAACAACACTACATAAATTCACTATGGATGGATAAAACTTTACTGTATGCATATACTGAGCTTATTCATTTATTTGTTGATGGAATGTTAAGCCAGTTCTATAACTTGGCTATTTTGAATAGTGCCATCAGAAACATGGATATGCAAATATATCTACTGGGTGCTGACTTAGTTTTTCAGTTGTTTTAAGTAAGAAGGTGAATCTAGTGATACTCCATCTTAACAAGCTAACCTTCTTCTGCTTACACAGACATCACTGTCCAACTTGCATCGCCTCACTGGGCTCATGGTTGAGTCTGGAGTTATCTGCCCATCACTTTGAGAGAAATCTGAGTCACAGCTACAGCTTTAAATCTGAGGATGGCTACACATTACAATGAAAGTAAATATAACTCTGAGGGACCCAAGGTCAAAGTGCTTTGAGAACTACAAAATGTATCCAAGAAATTTGAAGAAAATATACAGGAAAGAACAATGGTGTCTAGAAACTGTAAATCGAGTGAGATATGACTGGACAGGATCTTCAATATTAAATGGAATTTTTTAAGTGAAGGGTCTAGCAAAACTTTCTTCCTGTATGTCCAGATAAGCAGGTATATGAACAGATTTAATGTGTGTTTCATGTACAAGACCATGTAACTGTGACCATTTCTCATAGAGTTAAGCAAGAGCAACTGAATGGCTATAAGACTCTAGATCAATCACATTCAGCTCCATGGAGCTGGATCTCTGATCTCAGCCATAGGAAGAGAAGCATCCTTCCCTAAACAGCGAGAGCTGAACTGATGAAGCCCACAGAAGTGTAATCATGTAAGCTTGAAATGTAGCATTGTCATGCTATCTACCTACCTACCTATCTATCTATCTATCTAGCTAGCTAGCTATCTACCTGTCTATCCATGTACCTTTCTTTCTTTCTTTCTTTCTTTCTTTCTTTCTTTCTTTCTTTCTTTCTTTCTCTCTCTAGCTCTCCCTTTCAATATGCATTCAACTGGTAATTAAGTTCTGCTCAATATTTAAAGAAATTCCTTTAAAAGGAATTATAATCATTTTTTAATCCAGTAGTTCCTGAGTCCCACCATTCACTGAGTCTTTGTTAGACTATAATGCCTTATGATACACTTATTTGATATTTTTAATTTTCCATTAAAGAAATGTTTCACAGAACAAAGATGAAGGTATTTGTTGGTTTTATAAGCATCAGTGCTCTGTATATTTCAAATGGCTTTAATTTAATAGTTTTGAAATCTAATCACCAGATTCAGTCATTAAGGACTGCTTAACAGTGAGGCCTTGGCTTCTGCCTTAGGAGATTTTTCAAATAAGAGAGAACATGGCACAGTGACTGCTTGCTGCACAGACTGAGGACATGAATTCAGCTCTCTAGAACCCACATTTGTTTTAAAAGCCAGTTATGACAGCATGTGTCTGTAATCCCAGAACTGGGGGTAGAGACAAGAGGAACCCAGGAACTTACTGGCCAGCCAGTCTAGCTAATCAGTGAGCTCTGGATGTAATGAGCGACCCTGTATCAAAAAAAATTAAACTGAGAGTGATGGAAGAAGACACCTGACACTAACCTCTGGCTGCCCATGCACTCAAGGGTTTAAGTCCTCACCTTCCATCCCATTTGAGACAGGGTCTTCTATTCACCACTGAATACACTATGTTGTCTGCCTTGCAAACTTTTGCTTCCTATGTCACAGAATAGCACTGGAATTAGACATGCCACCGTGCATAGCTTTACATTAATTCTAGATCTTCATGTCTGTGTAGCAATCACTCTACTCACTGAACAACCATCTCACCAGCTCCAGCACACACTTTCTAAGCTATAGGTTAGTGTGCTGCAACAAAAATTCCCCAAATACATGGTGGTTTAATCCAAACACAAGTTTATTTCTGTTTCAGATTCAAGTCACAGTTTGTTACCTAGACAGCATTGGAAACACAAGCTCTTCAATATTGTTTGTTACTCTCTCATCTTCAACCTGAATTACATTACCATTTTGTGATTGAAAAAGCCTTTCCAGAGCTCATAATCACATCCATATTCCAAGAACCAATAAGTGATATTAGTAATGAGAAAGAGAACACTCTTCATTTGTAGGCTGACAAAACAAAACGCCTCTAAAGTCAAAAAGATTTTTCCCTTAATGGGTATGTTGCAACCTGGGTTTCCCTAGGACAACTTAGAGAGTTTAAGATCTAGACATACCTACCTAATACAAACATATAATTCCTCCTGAGATAAATATACCTCATATCCATCCTCAGTACCTCATCCAAAGATGTCAGCCAAACTAAACAATGCTCAGTCTCTCAGACAGAAAAGCACTCATCAGTAGTAAAATGTACAAACAATGGTAAGAGCAGAATCTCTAACTGTACTCTTCACCAGTTCTAAAATGAATTCCCAAAATATCCTTCCTTCCTCTCCTGAGCATCATAAATCAATGGAGCAAAACTCTGTCTTTGGGACTGACCAAAATATGTTCTAATTTTAAAGCACAAAGACTCTTAGATGGATGACCCACACCAAGTGTGGCAGACCTCCAGTGAGTTTTTACCTAGTTCCTATCCTCAGAAACGCATGGCATGCCTGATGGCACAATATATTTACCATTTGCAAGAGAGAAACTCACTGTAAGTAACAAAATTGCTTCTACATTTACTGAAGCTGTGCATGAGAACCTAGTGCCATTTAGTAGCTTTCTCAGATTGAAATAATATACAATTACTTTTATTAAATAAATACGCAAAAAACAGATGTCTTCAATACTTGGCCTTGTCTGCTGTTTATACTGGACAAAAATACAAATAAAATTTAAAACACGAGATTTTTAAAAAGAAAATCATTATGTGGGAATATAATTTTTCCTAGAAAATCTTGTCTCTCCAAGGATAAGTTACATACAGTGCCTATTTCACTTATGCTTGTTATAAATAAATAAATAAATAAATAAATAAATAAATAAATAAATAGGCAACATTATAGCAAAAGGTGGTATTTCAGTATGTGGCCATTTTGTATCCTTTAAGAGACTCTGTGAGACAGTGATAAGCATCCATTGCATTGACTTAGAGACTGTAAAGACACTGAATCCTAACCAGGCACAGACTAGGATTTGTCATTCTTGTTCAGATAGTGTTACATGATCAGTTATTGGATTGAGGGGAAAAAAATTCTATCCCCCAGTCCCCATGACAACAGTGGAGAATTGTTGGGGTTGGAAAGAATAATAGGATAAAGGAGAAATATCCACAAACGCAGCTATCCAGGTAGATCTCAACAGACTGTTGAGCCACGTGCCTAGGGGTTTTCTTTGCACAGACAACTAGGAGCAGAAATATTCACTGTAGAATGGTTCCTGGAGATACACTCCATGCCATCCATGAGCTCTTGGCTGAGTTCTTGGTAGGGACTCTGCAGCCAGTCATTAGGATGTACTCAAATTGATGCTTTTGTGTAGAACACCCTGAGCACTCGTTGGCGGATCTGTCGAGTCTTCACCCCATAAACAAGAGGATTGAGGGCAGGTGGCACAAGCAGATAGAGAGTGGCCAGCAGAACATGGACATGGTGGGGAACATGGTGCCCAAAGCGGTGAGTGAGGAAAGAGAACATTCCAGGAATGTAGAAGATGAGAATGACACAAACATGAGACCCACATGTACTGAAGGCCTTGAGTCTGGCTTCACCCCCTGGGACCTTCAGCACTGCCTGGAGGATGAGGGCATAGGAAATGCCAATGGCCAGGACATCTAGCCCAACTACCAGCAGTGCCACTGACAGCCCATAGGCTCGATTCACTATGGTTTCAGAACAGGCAAGTTTTACCACAGCCATATGCTCACAGTAGGCATGGCTTATGACAGTGGCTCTGCAGAAGACAAGATTCTGCAATAGGATGGGGAAAGGGATGAGGAGGACCAATCCCCTCACCAGCACCACCATCCCAATGCGCCCTATGATCCCTGGATGCAGGATGGTGGAATGGCGCAGAGGGTGGCAGATGGCAACATAGCGGTCCAGAGCCATGGCCACAAGTATGCCTGACTCCATAGATGAGAAGGCATGAATGAAGAACATCTGAGTCAGGCAGACAATGTACCCAATCTCATGAGCATATGCCAGGAGCACTGTGAGGGCTTTGGGTGCAGTGGAGGAGGCCAGGACCAGGTCAATAGCAGCGAGCATGGCCAGGAAGAGGTACATGGGTTGGTGCAAGGAGGAGTCAGTCCAGATGATGAAGATAATAGTCACATTGCCCACTAGAGCAAGGAAGTAAAGGACACCCAGGGGCAACGCTATCCAGTGCTGACTTTCCTCCAAGCCTGGAATGCCTACTAGGAAGAAAGAGGGCTGGGGTTGCCTCCAGCTGGAATTGCTGAGGGCCATGATCAACAGCACAGAGAAAGAAGAGTGAAAAGACACCCAAGTCACGACTTCTCCATTCTTGATATTCTAAGACACTGCAGATCCAGCTACCATGTTCATCAGAGCAACAGGTGACTTAAGCTGCAACACGAGGGAATAAAGTTAGATTCAAGGAAGAAAACCCTTTCTGGATACAAACGTTTTTCAGATGAGCCTTCCACACATCTGAACTGGGTTGAGTCTAGCTGTGATGTGAGATAAACCCTGAACACAGCTGCTTGAGAGGGGTGTTAACTCTTCTGCTCAATGACTTAAATTTTGAAACTGTCAACTTGAAAGCATTGTCTTTACTAACTGTGTAGGTAGTGCTGAAGGCTAAGTCTCCTGTCACTTTGACACTCATCCCCTGCAGCCTCAGGACACAGTACTCAGTAGTTGTTCCTAAGATAGGCTGCATCCCACAATCTTCTCCATCTCATTGCAGATTGGTTCCAGGGTTTCAGGATCCCTTCCCTTCCTCTTCCCTATGTTAACTAATCCACTGCATGGTTTTAACTAGTTAATGTGCTTCAGTTCATTCCAAGCTTATCTTTGATGCAAAAATATTCCTGTGATGCACAAATTTATTTCTCTGTTTGCTTCCCTAGGCCCGTACACTCAACATTCAAAGCAATCTAGCTTAACCAGCCTTCGCAAATATCCTCTATCTACTTTATGTTACTATTTCTGTGAATAAACCCATGTCTATGTATCCAAATCGAAAACTGTCTTTACTCATTCTTATAATTGATGCCTTTTATCGTTTCAACAGTCCCCATTGACTTAAATATCTCACAGCCCTTCTCTTTTCTCAGCCCCCAGAATTACTGCCTGAATTTGTAATCCAACTTTCTCTTACCCAAATTCTTCCAGACATAATGGAAAAAATTCAGGTTGGAAAAACATCAAATGTGAACTCATGCAGTGACACTCTGTAATTTTGTTATGAGCTCTTTTTTAATATACTTTAAACCCTGAAATCACAAATTCTCTCTAAAATTGAACTTTCATATGTACGTAAAGTGCTTTGGTGAAAGTCATGCATGGAACGACTCACAGACTGGCATGCAAGTTTGTGAGATTATCTTATTGCATTGCTTCCCTAGCAGTTTTGTTACCTGTTAAACATGTTTTGCTGTTACCTTATGTTGTTGTTGTAATTATATGAGTACACAGGCATATTATACAAAACTTCTGAGCTTCTTTCTCCTTCCTATCTTATCTAATTTGGTCTTTCTCATCCATCAAGATTCAGAGTCCAGTGCCCTCTTTTCCTGCAGAAGGATTCACAGTGGTTTGCCAACCCTAGTAATATTGTCCATATTTTACGACCTGCCTTTGTTTATCTATGACATTCTGATTTGTCAGCATCGTAAAAATCCTTTCAGTGTCACAGTGTTTTATTTCAAAAGACAGAATCAGATCTCATTAAACTTGGTAACCACAAGCCAGCCTGGTGGACACATTTCGGTGTACATCATCAAATTTAATTAAATTTAAGCTGTCTATTTCATATTCTAGTAATAAAACTTTGGCAAGCTACTTACAATTTCTAAGCCTAGATTTCTCATCTGACAGTAAAATAAAGATCAGCCATACAACTTACTATAAATATTAATTAAAGCGTACATTCCAAGTCTAGGCTGACATTATTCTACAAGATATGGATTTCACTATTACTAAAAATTATTAAAGAATGAAATCCCAAATGTCTTTCCTTTTTTTCTTTGCATCCACAAATCTCCTTCTATGTTTCAAATGTCTGTCTCTTGTTGTCTTGCAAGAAAGAATACATTGCTGTTGCCTCTATAAATATTAACAACAGGCACAAGTAAATGAAACAGGTGCCCTGTTTTAATCTCGTCCATGTGAGTCACTCTGGAAGCATTGCAAAAGACATTAGATGGTGTATTTGTGACTCTATTTGCCTTAAGAAAATGATGCACTCTGAAATAGTATTATTCTATTCTGAGATTCATACACATACACATAAAGAGTCAGACATGACTCAGTTCTTGGGATCCCACATCTATATTTCTGAGTGATTTAAAATAAATCAGTAATGACTATGACATTGCCCCCAAATTCTGTCTATATTAAATACAAAATCCAAAATGCCTAGCGAACACAAATTTCCCAGCCTTTGCTTTTCTTCATCTCTAAAAATAAAGGAATAGTGATAGTTCTCTTGAGAGATCCATGGTAATCTAACCATGTACAAAACTTCTCCCATTGGTGTTTGGTGTTCCACACAAAGAGAAAGTTTATTCTCTTTCTTAGCTACACCTTCCTATGCAAACCTCAGCCTGCATTGCATAGTTCAGTATAGAAGCAAATGTACCACTATACATTTTGGAAACATGTCCATAGCTTTTATAGGATCAATACCAAGAGAGCTGAGGAGTAATGTTGCTGTTCCTTGGCATCAGCTGCCTCCTTGTGTTCTGTGGCTTGTGCACACAGAGTAAAAGTCTGGGGCTGCTTATGTAAGTAGGTGGACCTCTGTGAGCCTTACTGAAAAAAAGAAAAGACTTTGTCTTCAGGAATCTGAACAGAAACATGTATTTAGCTCTCTGACAAGGAAGTGTAAGACAGTTAGAAAAGGACCAAGGCTGCACTTCACTTACACCCTTGCAGATCCAGCCCAAGCCATCTGTCATTTGTCAAGTCATGCTTGAGTGCTGTAGGGCAGTCTGACATGTCTCTCTTTGTCCTCAATTATAATTCTCTTACTGCTGTGTGACTGCACTGATTACCTTGTACCATAAGATCATCTAATCCTGAAGAGTGGAGATGAAGTCTTACTTATGGGAGACTTCCCAGAGCAAGATGCAGCATACCTGGAATCCGATTTGTCTTGCATATGACTGGCTGAGGAAACACACATCCAAATGTTTATATTACACAGCAAGTAAGTAAGTATGCAAAGGTCTTAAAAGACTGAAACTGTGGGAACTTGATGAAGCAGAGGCTGGACTTCAGGGATAAGCACATAATAAGCAGAAGAGTGTCTACTGAAAGGTAACCATTGCGTCTTGATGTTCCCCACCCTTACAAGACACTCTGGGTGCTTCATAGGAATGTGGGCTCTGCTGGGTCTCAGCTGTAAGAAACAAGGACAGAGTTCTAGATGTGTATAGAAAAGAAGGGTGACTAGCAGTCACTTCTTTGACTGCCTCTTGAGCAGGAAGTCTGCTGTGTGGACTATGACAGGACTTTCTCTCCTTAGTCTCCTAAACAGTGACCTGGACTCTATGAAGTAGGAAAGAGAAAGACAAGAACACAGGCAGAGGTGTAGAAGCAGTGGAGCGATGATAATGCCCGGACATAAGAGGAAGGCAGCACAGTCAAGCACTCAGAGACACGGCTCCAACTAACACATCCCAGAACCTAACGTGACAGGCAGGACAGTCGTCCTTGTCTCTGGGCTGTCCTCAAGGATGTGTCTGTTGAAGCTCTGTGTCAGCTGAGGGAGAAAAGGGGAAAGTTGCCACACTCAGGAAGGTTCTACTAAGCCTTCCTCCTCAGTCCCAGAGTTTCCACCTCCCTGCTCCAGCTCCAGAGCTTCCAGGCACCAGTGCAGCCTCATGGTGACACCCTGCTCTAGCTTTGGAGTGATAATAAGGGAGACTTTGTGCTCAGAAGGGCTGCATAGCAATTTCTGAATGTTGGAGAGAAAATTAAACACATCACTCAAGACCTGGGAAGCTAATCTTTCCGATGTTGTAAACACAATTAGTAGCTCTGGAAAGACTCAGAGAAAGAGCCTGCATCCTCCTGTGCTAATGTGCTGTGAGGATGAGAAAATGAGACTGTGTGAAATGGCCTGTGAGTGTCTCCAGCTGACCATGAGGCTCAAGAGATTAGTAGGTGTCTGTGCACTAACAGTTAGCTTGCAGGAATGTGTCCTCTGTGATCTCTGTGTCCTGTGCTTTACTCCCCCTGACAGTGTCTAGGCCAGACCTGGAAAGAACAAACATTCTGACTCAGAAGAAACAAATCTAAAACTACTAAGAGGTGCTGGGCTGGAGAGAAAGCTCAGTCAGTCAAACCCCTGCAGTGCAGGCACTGTGGGCCAGATGCTCCATCTCAGTCAGTGAACTGAGTCATCTGAGTCAGTGAACTCCAAAAACATGAGGTGGAGAGAGACTGAGGAAGACACCTGCCATCTTCCTCTGGCTTTCTCATGCAGGTTCATCCACCCACACTGATGCACACACCCACAAAATCATATACATACACACACATACACAGACAACCAAGATGTGTTAAACCAGTGTATTTGCAGAGTTGCAGCCCCACTAACCAAGCTAAGAAATAATCATTGCCACAGGACTGTGAAAAAAAATCAGCTGTCAATAGGCTTCCTCCACCACCAAGTTCCAAATCTGACCTCATTTTCCACAGCCCAAGTCCTGTGCCTCATCTTGTCACTGGTTGTGAAAGTTATGGAAGTCCCTTCTTAACGTTTCCTCAAAGGAGGGACTATGACTGTGAACAGGCTCTGGGAAAGTATTAATACCCACTGGCAGGTCTCAGAGGACTGGCAGACACATTTGGTCAAAGCCTAAGTTAGCCTTCAGACTGGCAGGAGAGTCGTGGGTGAGTGAACTTCCCAGAGGGTGAGTGGGGGTGGGCAGGGAGACAAGGCTAGTGGTGGCACCCACTCAGAACTGTGTGGCTGGGCTCTGTGCAGTGCTGACAGTGACTCTAAGTCTGAACACCCTGAGAGCTGCACTAGGAAATGAGTGCTCCGTGAGCCATGAACCTCAAACCGATGTGGCATTTATACTTCTTGTTCTCACAGACAAGTCTTAGGCCCCTGTGAATTTTTCATCTTTAATGGGTGCTATGATCCCAGATCTAGAAGCATTAGTTGCTGGAAGTCATAACTGAGTCACTCTCCTATGGAGGAATAAAAATTTAAGAGGCTTTCTTGCCCCAAGATATTTTTCTTTTCCCTTCAGCACTCATTGGACTGGTGATGTAAGAATATAAAGATAAAACCCACTTTGTTCAAATTTTTTAAAAATTCTGAACAGTCTCTCCAGCTCAAGAGGTCTTATTTGATTACCAATGCAACTGAGAAATCCATACCACAGTATAAGTTCATCTGCCCATCATGTTTCCCTCACTCTTCAATATTGATGCTCCCATATCTACTTCACAACAAATTCCTTTAATTTGAATTTGTGCTTTAGAGTCTGTTTTTGAAGAACCCAGACTAAAACAAATGCCAACTGTCTCAGACTGTGGCTCTCAAGGACATCGATCCCATGGTTTCCATAGCAGCAATGCTTCAGCTTTAATCTTTTCCCTCCTCTAGTCAACAACTATTTCATTCACACATTGTAGGAAACTACATCTGTCCATTCATTAAATAAATGCACATGGTTCTCAGTGTCCTAGTGTCCAGCTTTACAGTGGTGTAAAAGTGTAATGCATTCAGTCTAAGACAAACAATTGTGAATTTAATCTTTTCCAAGATGGTGATGTGTGGTAGTGTTCTCTTGCAATGCTGCACAGTGTCATTGAGCTTCTATCATACACCAAATGAAAAGAATAATGACATAAACTGGCATTTGGAGGACATTGAATGTGAACATAAACCAACTTTTTATCTCAAGGAACCACAGTGTAAGAGCTAAGTACATCGGATCTGCCTTTATTAACAATATTTTTCATTAATCCAAGATATTCAGAGAATTGTTCAAAGTAGTTTATTCAAAGTCCTCAGAGACTTCTAAGTCACTTGGAGATAACCTTCACTCAACCTGTCACCCACCTAAAGAATCCACCTTAGCAATCATGAAATTATTCCATCTCTCTCCCAGATCATCATCTTGCTAACATTCTGAAATTCTGAGAAATATTCCAAATATGAAACAAAATAATGTCAGGAAAAGAAAGGAGGAATGAGTGAAGACCAGAAGACAAATGCTAGTTTTCTGTTTGTTTGGTGATTGCATACAGCCATAAGTCTGCCCTGCAAGGGGAAGCATATCCTCCAGTGCTCTCTTCAGGGCCTGAAACACAGCCATTTGAAATTACTACATTTGGAAAGAATGAAAGGAGATTTCAATCATGATTATGATGATAAAGACACTAGTATTTGTGATGTGATAAGGATGACAATGGTTTATTTCACTTCAATAAAATATACTGAATACTCATTGTTATAAAGATTTGTTTATTTATTTATTCCAAAACACATATTATATTTATATGGCTGATGAAGACATGGTGCTATTCTTAAAGTAGTTCATTAAAAAAAGATCTGTTTATGTATTAAGCAAACATTTATTACTTATCAAATGCCAGGAACCACGACAGGAATACAATCACTTTGTGCTGTGGATGCAGAAATAATTCATCCATTCAAAAATACATATACAATTGTAAATTATAATAAATGATGAAAGAAATAGACAAGTTTTCTGATGGAAAACAGGTGATTTGATGTGATTGGAAATCCTCCAAATGAATAAAGGTGAACAAAAATGGTGAGCTTAAGAACAGGCATCTTGGCTAACTGACTGGAGGGAACACAAACACCTGAAGAACTTAGAGAAGGGCACTTATGTATGTATATGTGTGTGTGTGTGTGTGTGTGTGTGTGTGTGTGTGTGTGTGTGTGTATACAGAATATATAACACTAGGGCAATACTATGCATTTCAAGGACATGTGAGGATATAAAACCATACAGCAGATACACTAAAGTGAGTGGTAATGGGAGGAGTTTGGGAGGAAATGAGCAAGAGGGTTAGAAAGGAAGAGAGAAAATAATAAGTAGAATGAGAATCAAGAAAAAATACGGGGTATGTTTATGCTTGAGTCTCTACTCTTCAGACTAAATATGGAGAAAGAGGAGAATACATTATTTTTAAGGGTTAAAAGTATACAGTACTAGAAGGACAGTCTATCACAAAATTAAACTGAACGAGTATACAAAATAAACTAAGCTTCACCTGCAACTCTGGAAACAAATAGGGCATGAAGAGTCTAAAGTGTTTTCTCATAAACTCAAACTCCAAGACATCTCCATGATTTGCTATCTCTCTTTCTCTGAAGCCAGACTTTCTGTGGTAGAGAGGATCTCTGCTCTCATGTGGAGGCTGAGTGTATATGCTACGTGGTGGGAGCTGCCTCATTTCCTCAAGTGTCCAGAATAAGCACTTATTTTACAATGCTCACTAAATTCCTGGAGTCTCAATGTATAAAAAAATCTGTGTGTGTGGGGGGGGTTGGGTGGGTGTGTGTGTGTGTGACAGAGACAGAGACAGAGACAGAGACAGAGGGAGAGAGATGGTTTTCCTATGTAGCCCTCATCAGATTACAACTCACCATGTAGTCCAAGCTAACCTCAAACTCATGATTCTCCTGCCTCAGTTTCCCTCCTGTATCTTCATGCCCAGCTAACATCCTATTTCTTAACTGCTATATCTATATCATCAACACAAACTATCAAATTTAGAAGAAAAGGATACCAAAAGGTACCACTTAGTGAATAACTGAGATTCTACAGAACTTCTTAGTCTTGAATTCCAATATGCAAACATCAGAGAACCCAGAAAAGATTTCCCTTCTTACAATATCCCAGAATGCCTTCTGTCCCCATCAGGCAAATGACTTGGGTAGTAGAGGTTCTAATCTATGGAGAAGGGGCATCTTGACCTTGAATTCCAGCTGACATAAACGACAGTCAAGTGGGTTCAATCTTCTTGGAGCGTATAACTGTGAACAGACACTCTCGGATCTGCTTGGTCTTAACCCCATATACAATGGGGTCCAATGCAGGGGGGAAGAGCAAGTAGAGGTTGGCAAGGATGACCTTGGCAGCAGAGGCTGTGGATGGCCCAAAGCGCTGCATGACCACAGAAAGAAAGCCTGGTCCATAGAAGAAAAGGATGACACAGACATGGGCTGTACATGTGCTTCCTGCTTTGCCACGTGCCTCAGGTGAAGGAAAATGCATCACAGTCTTGACAATCTGTCCATAAGAGTAGGCAATAAAGGCCACATCCCCCACACCAAGAAAGATTGCCACAGCCAAGGCATAGAGACTGTCCACGGTTGTGGCCCCACAGGCCAGCTTCACCACTGCCATGTGCTCACAGTAGGTATAAGCAATTGTGTGTGAACCACAGTAAGACAGTCGATGGGCCAGGCTTGGAAAGAAGATGGTTAAACCCACACCTCTCAGTGCCACCAGCCCTCCAATCTTGGCGACAACTTCAGGAGTAAGGATGGTTGCATAATGCAGTGGGTTGCAGATAGCCACAAAGCGATCCAAGGCCATGGCCACCAGCACCCCTGACTCCATGGCAGAGAATGCATGAATGACAAACATTTGGGACAGACAGGCATAGGAGCTGATGGCTGTAGCACTAAACCAGAAAATAGCCAGCATCTTGGGAAGAGTGGAGAGGGAGAGGACCAGGTCAACAAAAGAGAGCATAGCAAGAAACAGAAACATGGGCTGGTGAAGCCTGTGTTCTGTCCAGATGAGAGAAAGCAGGACTGCATTCCCAGTTAGTGACAGGACAAACATGAAGCAGAAGGGAAGGGATATCCAAATGTGGGCAGCAGTCAGGCCTGGGATGCCAGCCAAGAAGAAAGTATGTAGAAGGAGGTGAGAATTATTGGAAAGAATCATGGTCGTTATCCCACACCAAGGAGCAAAGGGTCACTGTAAAGAAAGGCAGAGATACAAAACCCAGTGAGTGAAGATTAATAGGAAGTCAGGGTGTACAGTCTCACTGACGTCAATACCAGCACCACATCAGTCTTACTCAACAGTTAGTGTTAAAGAAATGCTCAAAAATAAATTTCAATTTATTCAATATTTCTGTACATCTTCAAACCAGAAGAGGTAAGACAGTTGGAAATTCATTGGTGAGAAGTTCAGAAACCAGATTCTAAGCTTAGATTCACAATGTGTGTGTTCTGGGCTAATTTATTTAACTGTAAGTATCCAGTAAGTATTATTAGTTTAAAATCTTTTCTCTCAAGCTCATACTCCAAATGCTGGTACTTGATGTATTCATCATTGGCCTCAGTGTCAGCAACCCTTAATCCACTGAACTCCTGAAACTGCCAAAAATACTAACATCTGTAAAATCCTTCAATTAGAGGCAACTCACTCTTCCACACATGATTTGATTTGACTGCCAACATTAGAGAATAATGTGAAGTCTCTGGAGACTCCAACGCTGATCAGGCCCTTCCTTGCATTATTCCCATCCTGTTCACTTGCTTTCTGACCCAATATCTCAGTGACTGACTGCCTCCTGCTGCATCTCCCTCTCCTTCAAATTGCTAGTGTGTTGGTGTTAAACATTTTGGTGACCTGGAGAGTAAACAGAAGCTCTTGGACACATCAGTAATATTAAGGCCAAAGAATTGTGTGTTGTAGCCACCTACTGGGAGTGGAGCAGAAAGTTATCACAGCAACAATTTGCAACATTATCTGTGTTCCCAAGATGCTCCCTATTAAATGCCATTATTGTCTGTTACAAGAGAAACAGCAATCTAAGAAGAAATAATGAACCAGTGTCACAGGTCTGCAAAAGTGAATAAAGTCACAGCTCACAGGTACTGACCCAAGATAGAAGATTCTCTCCTGTCTCTGTTAGAGTGGCTCTTACAGGCCAAGAAAGAAGATCTAGGACCCCTGGACCATGACTAAGAGAGGGTAACAATATAGATGATGAAACAAGGACTGAAGAGCAGTGATTTGGAGATTGTGTCTCTCTGACATCTTAATACCTCAGGAACCATGATCCTCTCATGTGAAACATAAGGACAGGGACACAAAGACACGAAGACTTCATCAGCACTGACCTCAGGTGGTCATCAAACATTAACCAACCACACATCAGAAACTGCCCAAAATATGAACATCTGAAAAAATATTTCATGTGACAGCATCTTCATCTTCCAGATTTTACTTGACTGCCAAGATGAGCTAATAATATACGGTCTCTAATGACCATATTCAGCATCTAGAAAAGCTTTGGGTGTAAGAGAAGTGAATCACATGCTAGGTGGGAAAGATCAGTGATAGCCACTGATTATAGCCCCAATGATGACAAAAGTGAGTCTCTGACTACAAGGTAAAGAAACAAAAGTCATCTTGGGATGTGGCTCAAGAAAGCAAAGTTTTAAAATGGCCAGGAAAGTTTGCTTCTCCCTCTAAAGGAAGTCGTATATTTTCTTTTCCTTCAACCACAGCTGCCATGGGACTGTGCAATAATGACAGTCAGGAAGGCTACAAAGTTATCTTTCCTGACTTGTCAGCTGTATTAACCTAAGAAAAGCAACTAGGCATTTCCCAACATCCAGTTTTGTTTCCTCACATGTGAAATAATTATATTAAAATCTGCTCCTCAGAGGCATAGTGAAAATTGAATGAGATTTAATATAAAAATTGTCAAATATTGAAAATATCCCTTTAATTGGACTGTACCTAATAAATAATATGTTGGAAGCAATCTGGCTAAGAGTAATAGAAATTTTGGGGATTTTGAGATAGGGTGTAGTAACTGGAGTAACCTGATCAAAAGTGCTGTGTCCACACCCACCCATCATGACTCTTCCTTCCTTCCCAGCAACACACTGTTTTCCTAATCACTCCAGAATGTGGTGCTGTGAGGGAAATAGAGGGTGTAGAGAAGTGTGACTCTGATCACCTGAACATCTGCTTCAAGTTATCCTCTAAACAATCCATCCTTAAGTCTCTGTCTTCAGGAAACTGTTAGAAATAATTACACCTGGTAGCCCTTGGATCAGAAAATATTACTATTTTATCCATGTGCCTTAAGTAAATATCTGACCCAAAAACCTAGCAGTTCTGTCTCTATCAAAGAAATAAGTAAAAAGAGGCAAGGGGTTAAGGAGCCAGAGAAATCTCAATTCCAGATTGCTTTTATAAATGTTTTCCTGTGACTAGCCCTGTAGGCATCAAAGAGAAGCAGGCCTCCAAAAAAACCTCCTAACCCAGGACTGAACTGCCTGCTTTGCCAAGGAATTTTCACATGCTCATTCCTTCCTGTGTCTGTCCTGTATAACACCATGCAAAGGTCTGTGTAGGTTTCTAACACAGTATATAGTATTGCCTATGTTGTTCTTTCAATTTTACTTAATGATATTAAGAGCATGCCTTTTCACTATAGAGAGACCATCAACCCAGACTATAGGACAGTTAAAATAAGAACGTAGCCTTTATATGTCTCTCTTCCTACCCTGTACCGTTACTCACCAAAGAACTGCATTAGTTGACCTACAGAAGGGTAAGAGGTTAAGCTACCATCAGGCCCCAAGAAAAGAGTATTTAATAGAATGCTTTTGAGACACTGTAGGGATCCAAAGTGAATTTTCAACCACCTAGACACCAATTAATATTCCTGCCTTGTCTTCAAACAAAAGTCAACAAAACCTTTTCTTTTTATTGATTCCCATGGGAGCAGCCCCAGCAGGGAATATTTTGAATAGCATACTCCAGGATATCTTGCCAAGAGGGGGCTAGGAAAGGCTTATTGTCAGGTGTACTGGGAGGACCTAGACTGATGATGATCTAGAAGAAGCTGATCCAAGAGGACTGAGGAAGAAAGCAGGGAAGTGATAAGGAGTAAGTAACCTTAGTAGTAGTGCAGGAGACCAAGGAGACACCCCCCCAGGGTGGGGGAAGAACCATGAGCAGAGTGGAACAATGTGTAGAAGAAGCCTTGATGGAAGGGAGGACCTTCCCAGAGAACACTGTGTTAGAAAATGCCAGTGGTTCTGTGCCTAGAGTTGCAATGGTGGGTACAAGGATAAGCAAGTGCTGTAGGTGTTGTTCCCATATGTCTTCTAACAACTCAAGCCCTTTAATTGGACTTTTTGTGCTTTACTCACTTCTCAGGCACTAAATAACTCTTGATAAAAATGCCAGATCAACCTACCATAGATGGGGGTTATCTAGGACTATGGAAGATTTGATGATATATTGGATAGGGAAGAATTGGAGAACTATGTGTTTAGCCATCAGGAAAAAAAGATATATATGATGGCATACATCAATCTTCACAGATTCTCCAATTCCAGGAAGAATTTTCTGACAGGGAAAATAGATTTTGTTCTATGAAGCCTTAATGAAAATGACAGCAAATGCATTGTACTGGCTAGTTTTATATTAATTCGACACAAGCTAGAGTCATTTGAGGAGAGGTAAACTCAGTTGAGAAAATGCCCCCACCAGATTGATCTACTGGAAAGCCTATAGTGCATTTTCTTAATAATGATTGGGGGTAGGGGGGCATCCACTGGGGGCGGAGCCACTCCTGAGTGGGTGGTCCTGGATTCTATAGGAAAGCAAGCTGAGCAAACTATGGGGAACAAGCCAGTAAGCAGCACTCTTCTTTACATCAGTTTCTGCTTCCATGTTCCTTGGCACAGCCATATCTGAATGGAGTGGCATAAGTCATAAAGCCAGCACAGCTGCTTGACAAAGACCCAGCAAAGCTGAGCCACATGATGGCTGCCATGCCACCTTTGGTTTTCATCTCCAACTGTTATATACTTGGGCACTTTTAATATTTGTACAATTTGGGGTTATTGGATAGATGGAAAATTCCATATGAATCATTTATGCCTTCTCCAAGGAATGCTGCTTCTAAGCTTACCCAGGAAAGTCCTGAACATACTATCTCCCCTCCCCCACTTTGAGGGAGATATCCTTATTTACTTGAAGGTCTTCTTTATGCCTTGGAAGTTGTGACACATAAAGTAGCCACAGGTCTCTTTATGAGGCTATGAGACTTTTGAGGTTATGAGACATTCTTGAGGCATCTGTCCCTCTACTTACACAGGAACAAGATATTCAAAACAAAGTGAATTCAAAAAGGTCAACAAGATTCAGTGGGCTAGAGGAATTGTCCACAGTTCAGATTACAAGCCTCTTCCCACTGTACACTCAGACAATTATGTGGCATACAACTCTGCCCTACATAGAGACATATTGATAAGTAAAGTATGGAGTGGAAAGATGATAAAAGTATGAGGTGTCAGGACCTCCCTCTGTTAGAAATTAGCTCATGTAGAGCCACTATAATGTCATATGACCAAGGAACAACAGAATGCCAGGATTAGACATATAGAACCAATTCTATAAAGATATAAATGTGAACATTGATTGTATTATACCAGAATTTGAATAATAACTACAGCAGTTTTAGCCTGAGAATTTTTCCTGGGTACTCTGACCACTAAGAGTTAATAATACATTGCTTGAGACATGGCAAAATGCCCAGGGTGGTTGAAGATTTTGTTTTGGTCTAATGTCCTTGAAGCAACCAAAATAACCAGCCTGAGCACAGGCTGTCATATGCCTCTAGATTCTCAAAAATTGGGTTATGGGGTTAATGAGTAAGAATGATAACTCTGTTTATTAATGATGTCAAAACTTGAGGGAAAATGATTGGAAATGATAACTCTGTTCTGTCATAGTTTATTAATGATGACTAAAAGATGAGCAAAAGGAAGTGAAACACATGTCCAAAAACAAAAATGATATGATCTATGTTTTGGAACATCATGAATGTATCCCTGCTAACTAAATTCTGTATAAATAAAGAAACACTCTGGCTGCTAGTCAGTCAGGCTGCAAGATTCTCCTGACCACCATGGCCTGGCTCACTTCCTTCTCCTGCCGACTCCTTACACCCTCTGCAGAACCCATCCACCGCTGGGGAATGGCTCACAGCAATTCCTGCCCTGATTTCCTTTAGTGATGACATGTGACCTGAGACTTATTAACTGAAATAAACCCTTCCTCTCCAAGTTGCTTTTGACCATGGTGTTTTATCACAACAATAGAAACTCACACTAAGACATTCATATAAACATTTTTTTGAGATAGGTTCTCACTATATAGCCATGACTGGCCTAGAACTCACTATGTAGACCAGACTGGCCTTCAACTTACAGAGATCCACCTGCCTCTGCTTCCACAGTGCTGGGATTAAAGCATGCACCACCACACCTGCATGCATATAAATTTACAGTTAGGATTCAGACAGATTTTTGTCTTGTCAGAATGATAATCCCTTATCAGAAAGACAGAGGTCAACACAGGCTATATCGGAAAGAAATCTCAGAAGACTGGACAGGTATGGACAGTACCAAGACTCTGACAGTCCATTTACTAGAGCCTTGTTCTAGAACACTGTTCATTTCCTGAACAAATGAGAAGATACAGCAGGTTTCATTTCAGGTAAAGGCAAGGTTATAAACCTAACGTAAAATGCCCTATTTTCTGAGAAGTGACACTTGGTAACAGTGAGTTAAAGGCAGACAATGCTATGATAACTCTGATACATCAGGAAACAGGCTAGGTACCAAAACAGGACAGAAACTCAGTGATACATGCAGTCAAGACAAGTGGCAAAAAGCATAAAATGATCAAAGGAACCAAGACAGACAGACACATAACTAAATATTTCGGTTAAAGGATATTAGATGAGAATGTGGGTTGTGCTGTGGGATGATCTGTATGTCAAGTGTGTTGCTGATTGGTCAGTAAATAAATCACTGATTGGCCAGTGGCTAGGCAGGAAGTATAGGCGGGACAAGGAGGAGAATAAAGCTGGGTAGTGGCAGGCTGAGTCAAAGAGACACTGTCAGCTGCCATGATGAGAAACAGCATGTGAAGATGCCGGTAAGCCACGAGCCATGTGGCAAGGTATAGATTAATGGAAATGGATTAATTTAAGCTGTAAGAACAGTTAGCAAGAAGCCTGCCACAGCCATACAGTTTGTAACCAATATAAGTCTCTGTGTTTACTTGGTCGGGTCTGAGCTGCTGTGGGACTGGCGGGTGACAGAGATTTGTCCTGACTGTGGGCCAGGCAGGAAAACTCTAGCTACAGGGTTGCATGACTGAAGTCCTCAAAACTTTCAGATAAAGTCAGAAACTGTACAAAGCATCAAGAGATTGGAATAAGGATAACCTAAACACAGTCAAGATCTTTGACAGTTCCTCCTAAGATTGTGAGACTGTCTATATACATGCTGTGATTGTTCAGCTTGGGGTATTTTTGGGACTCCTAACAGTGGGAGAGGGGGTGTCTCTGGCTCTTTTGCCTGCTCTTGGGACCCTTTACCTCCTACTGGATTGCCTCACCCAGCCTTGAAATGAGAATTTATGCCTAGTCTTATTGTATCTTGTTCTGCCATGTTCTGTTGATATCTCTGGGAAGTCTGCTCTTTTCTGAAGGGAAACAGAGGAGAAGTGGATCTAGGGGAGAAGGGATGTGAATGGGGCTGGGAGGCTTGGAGGGAGGAGAGGCTGTGATTGGGATGTATTGTACGAGAGAAGAATAATTTTTTTAAAAGATTGTGAGACAGAATATTGAGATTTTAAACTAGATCACATAGAAGGTATGTATCAAAGCAAAACAAAGCCCTGCTCTGGGCAAGGAAGAGTGACAAGTGAGGATGTCTGGCCACAGCTTGGAAAGAGAAACACCTTGGAGAGAGACTGTCTAATTATGCCTATAGGGATTAGACAAGGCTTTCCAAATGAGGCAATGTTAAAGGATGTTTCAGGATGACTCATTAGCACTAAAAGGGACACCAAAACTCAGCAAGTAGGGAATTCTTTTTGCTTTAATTATTTTTATTTTATGTGTATGGGTGTTTTGCCTCTATGTATGTCTTTGCACACCACATGTGTGCCTGGTGCCTGAGGAGGCCAGAAAAGGGTATTAGATCCCTTGAAATTGGAGTTACAAATGACTGTGAGCTGCCATGTGAGTGCTGGAATTAAACTCATGTCCTCCAGAAGAACAGGTGCTGCTCTTAACCACTGAGCCATTCTTCCAGCCAGAAAGCAGGGGATTCTTCATGAACATCTCAAAGATCCATTTTGAGTAGCAGGAGAGATGGCAACTGTTCAAAAGGAAGGTTAGGCCCAGTCTATGAGAGGTCTTAAGTTCACCACAAAGAGCACTTCACAGTAAATAAGGACTCAAGAAAGACATTTGAATAGACATGGAAGTGATCTATGGAGGGCATTCTCATTCATACATACATCAATGCTGTCAGAGGCTTCCTTCATAGTATCCTGGGCATAAGAAGAAGGAAATTTTATTAGATTTAGGAAGAGTGGTAAAAATCCAGGTCAATGGGACCAAGAAAAGAGCAATCTTGATCAAGGTTTTATAGGCAAAGTTTGTCAAATGATGAATAAGGAAATGATCATGGTTCTGTACAAGGTTATAGAAAATGGTAGTTAGGGCTGAGGTGTCAGCTCTGTGGCCAAAGTTGCTTGCGAACACTAACAAGTGTGAGGAACATAGTTCAAATCCCCAGAACCCACATTGAAAGTTGGACATGTAGCTCAATGAGCTTCTGTAACTCCCAAGCTCCTACAAGGAGATGTGAGGTAGGTACAAGGAATCATGGAAGCTCACAAACCAGCTTACTTGGCCTGTGTGGCATGGAGAAAAAACAAGAAACCCTGCCTCATATGAGGTGGAAGGCAAGGACCAACACCTAAGGTTGTCCTCTGACCTCTATATGCTCACAGTGTGCATGCCCACATTCACACACATGAATATGCATATGTGCACACACATACACACACAAACACATGTTCAAAATTATTTTTAAAAATAAATTGAAGCTAATACCACACATTTCTGCTGTGTCACCCATGAGTAAATAACTGAAAGAATGAAAGGCATATAGAATGAAATTACGTCATCTACAAGACAGAAGATTGTCTGAATATTATTATATTGAGCAAAATAAGCTAAATTCAGAAAAGACAAATACTGTACTTCTTCATACATAAACTATAGATTTAAAACTAAAAATACATGAAATTAGAACAGGACTATTGGAGAAAGGGGACAAGAAAGGGTGTAAAGGGCTGAATACAATTGAAATACACTGTATACATCAATGAAAATGTCATAAAGAAATACATTATTTTGTTCAATTACTATCAACTAATTTAAAATTTTAAATGCATTTAACTAACATTAAAATAAAAGAAAATGGGAGTTTAAAGGGAAACATGTCTCAGACCAAGTTATGGGGACACTATAAATCTGATAATAATAGAGACATTGCAAAATAAGAAAGTCTAGATCAATATCCTTCATGTACATGGACATAAAAATTCTCAACTAATTAGCAAATAAAATTGAGCAATACATAAAAATAATAACATAGTAGAAGTACATAAGGAGGCTTATTAACAAGAATACAAGATAATTTGTCATTCAAAATAATTTAAGATAATTCCACATATGAACAAAATACATGAGAAAAATCATGTGTCTTATTCAACAACACAGAAACAAACATGTAAACTCAGAGCACATCATCAGGGCCCTTCACAAACATGAAAATGAGCCTGTAGAAAATAAATGTTGCTAACTCGGTACCTGACAGTGAAAGGTTGAAAACTTCCCCCTAAAATTGGGGGGTTTGTTTCTTTCTTCCTTGTTAGCCATTCTTAACACTCTCACTGGCTACTGTGCTGGAGGTCCTAATGATGTAAATAAGAGAATGAGAGCGCAGAATGGAAAGACAGAAGTTACATGCATGTACTGTGGTTGTACAAAAGCCAGAGTACATACTGGTACATGAAGTTAGCAGAGCAGTCAGACAGGGTCTTCAGTCTACAGGGCTTTTACAAACCTCTTCTATACCTGATATGTCCATGTGAGCCTCACAAATAACTCACAAAATAAAATCTTTCTTTAAAAGTGGAATTCTCTCAATACATCTTTGAATTTTTTGCTGGCACACCACAGAGGTGGGAAATATGGTTTCAGATTATGAATTTTACCTCCTGCGGGAAAAGGAAACTTAAATTCTCTTCATGCCTTATACTGACAAAGCTGAGCTTGGTTCCAGATGAAAGAACAATACTAGTTAAAGGGCCCAGAGGCGTTTTACAGAGAAGGCAAAATGGATAAGTTTGTATTCAAGATGCATTAAGCTGATTGCTAATAGAGTTCATGGTTAGAATATCAATGTAAAACAATGCCATTATGATTACATAATTGCAACTTTTAAATTTATGTTTCTGCCATTAACTTTTACTGTTTAATATGGAAGCACTAAGAGATACATAAAAGACTATTATGGGTACATAGCATATAGTCCACTTGCCTCCACTGAATAGACACAACCCCCTTTCTCTTGGATAGCTGGGATCCATCACTCCAGGAAATAGCGAACTCTTTTTTCTGTTGTTTCTGTGGTATAATGCAATAAAAAGAGTTCTTCAATATGAAAATTTTGAACAAAGTATCCAAATTTTGAAATTTCTGTGATGTAGCTCAGAAATAGAGCACTCCAGCAACACACATGCTCACGCGGCGCATGCGTGTACACACACACACACACACACACACACACACACACACACACACACACCCCTCTGTGCTAGGTCTCTGTTGGTATTTGAATTTTTCCAATGGCATAAATACTAATTGAAATCCAGAAAATCTACCTATTCCAGTCAAGAAATATTAGTACCCATTGAGGGACATATAACCTACTAGCTACACAGTAGTCTGGATAGTAGCCTACAGTAGTCTTACATCTCTCCTTGTCACTGCTAATCATCAGAACAACTTTGAATTTCAGAAACAGTCAATGGACTAGATCTGTATACCTAGACTTACTTACCATCAAGCATCACTAGACTAGGCCCCTGATTACTCATCTCAGGAACCCTATAAGATTCCCCCAGAAAGTAGGTTATAGTATTGACTTGTTGATTCTGAATTTAGAAGTGTTGATTCTGATGAGCATCAACATAACCCTCCCCAAGGACATACATTTTTTTTTAATACAGTCTGACCTACTCAGGTTCATTTTATTATTCTGTAAATTTAAAGTTTATTTGAGACAACATCACCATTTCATCATCTTTGACCCAAGCATAGGTATAATTCCATCCTGTTACATTGTTGTCATTTAATTCCACTAAAAATATAAAAAAAATCCATTGAGTACATTTTTAAAGATCTATGTATTTTTATTTGTATATGAATGTTTTGCCTATATGTATGTCTGTGTACCACTTAAGTATGTGTCTGATGCCCATGGAGAGTATCAGATCTCCTGGAACTGAAGTTGCAAATGGTGGTAGACCATCATGTAGATGCTGGGAATTGAACCCTAGTCCTCTAGAAGAGCAGCCAGTGTTCTCAACCACTGAGCCATTTGTCCAGCAACTCACACACACCAACTACCATTGAGTTCATTCATTCCATTTAAAAATAAATTGGTTGGTGTATACTATCACAAATAATGGCCTTTACCAAAACAGATTAATGCTTTTGTCAGGGAAAATAATCTCATTACTTTTTATTCTAATTCAACATTTAAAAATTGTCTTAAAAGAGAAAATAGTCATAGATGAAGGAAGTGATCAACATGCATTTTAGTATTATCAAGTTCTAAAGTATATCCATTATTTTGGCATTTTGAGGTTCTTAGCAAGAACAATACATGGGTTAAGACAAAAGTAAATGGTGGCAAGATTTAAAGTCTGCAGAACACAAATACAAGGAAGTAAAATAGAGTGTGGTCTCTAGAAGAGATATTGACTAAGATAAAGATCTTGACAGGAAGAAAGCTTTCAGAACCTTCCTATAACTAGAGGAATGATTGATGAGACTGGAGTGAATTAATGCACGAGGAACCTGGAGTGAAAAGTGGTCTGCAAGGCTGCTCCGGGGACCAGGGCTACTTGCCAAAGAGCTCTTGAGTCTTAGTCCCATGGCAACAATTAAGGCATTGGGCTCTTGAGAATAGAGTAAGGAGGGCCCAACAGTTAACACAACAGAAGCAGGCAACTTGGGGAATTATGCTAAACCCCAGACCCCAGATATAAGGAAGAGGTGAGGGATATGTTCAGGACGATAGGCTGTACAAAGGTCACCGTAGTGTGGACAGCAGAAGCTGCTGCAGGACCCTTTAACAGGGAGCCTCTTCACACCCTCCTGAAGAGGTAAGCGAGGCAGGGAAGGGCCTGCTTGTTTGGAGGTGAAAGGAGGGTTCCAGCCCTATAATTCAGTCCTGATCTGAGTGAGAAGTGAGGTGATAGAGTCTCTATCCTGGAGTTCTGTCCTGGTCTCTGACTACAAATCTCATCTCTGGCTTCCACAGTTGGCTTTCTTTCCTTTTCTTTTTAAAAGTCATCATCTTCAATATTTCCCTTCTCTCAGATCTTCGCTTAGGTAGGGGTTGGGATCTGTGATCAGGAAGCAAGAGAGAAATGAGGCGACAGTCTAAGCTGATCAGTGAGTGATAGACCAGGGGACTTGAAGTAATAGTCTACATCCAGTTTCCCCAGAACAGTAACGATAAACTCCAAAGACTGTTTTATTATATGACAAAGGATATACAATGTCAAAGATAAAAATAAAAGATATAGTTTTTAACGTACATCCAAACTGAATTCCCATTAATATAAATTAAAAAGTTGATTTACATGTGATCATATCGGCATTGTTTTACACTGATATTCTATCCATAAGCTTCTAACCATTTCATTGAGACAGGAAACAGAAAGTAAGGGATAAAAATTTGTAGCTGGAGTTTTCCTGGTCTTGCCTGGCCCACAGTCAGGACAAATCTCTCTCACCCACCAGTCCCACAGCCGCTCAGACCCAACCAAGTAAACACACAGAGACTTATATTACTTACAAACTGTATGGCTGCAGCAGGTTTCTTGTTATCTAGTTCTTCTATCTTAAATTTCTATTAGTCTATAAGTTGCCATGTGGCTTGTGGCTTACCAGTACCTTACATCTCGCTTTTCATGGCGGTGGCTGGCAGTGTTTCTCCCTCAGCCTTCCACTTCCCAGAATTCTCCTCTCTCCTTGTCCCGCCTATACTTCCTGCCTGGCTACTGGCCAATCAGTGTTTTATTTATTAACCAATCAGAGCAACACATTTAACATACAGAACATCCCACAGCAAAAATATTTAGAAAGAGAAAAGGTACTGTTTTCATGTAACTTTTTGTTCTATCTTTAAAAATGTTTAAAAAAAAAAGTACCGATTTATAAAAAGACAATAAATACTTTAAAAGTTAATTGCTGAGCTGCATATGAAATGTTCCCTCCAAAGCTAGTGTGTTAAAGCCTTGACATAGCCTCAATATACAGTGTTCAAAGGTGGGGACTTTGGAAGATGATAAGATGATCATTTGGACTTTGTCAATGGATTAATACATTGGTACAGTTGTAATTGGATGGACTATTAGAATTATGAGGAAGTGCAGCCTAGTTGATGAAGGTAAATTCTTAGGAATTTTCCATTGAGGAGTTTTATCTTTTTTTTTCCATTTTTCTTTATTAAGAAATTTTCTACTCACTCTACATACCACCCACAGATCCCACCTCCTCCCTCCTTCCACCCCCAGCCCTCCCTCCCAAGCCACCCCACATCCCCACATCCCCCAAATCAAGGTCTCCTTTTAGGAATCAGCAGAGCCCAACACACTGAGCCTAGGCAGGTCCAAGCCTCTCCCCACTGCACCAAGGCTGCACAAGGTGTCACACCGCAGGCATCAGGCTCCCAAAAGCCTGCCCATGCACCAGGGATGGATTCCAAGCCCCATGCCTGGGTGCCCCCCAAACAGTTCAAGCCAAACAACTGTCTTCCGTATCCAGAGGACCTAGTCCAGTCCCATGGGGGCTCCACAGCTACTAGTCTACAGTTCATGGGCTTCCACTAGTATGGTCGGTCATCTCTGCACCTCTTCCTATCATGATCTTGACGTTCCCTGCCTGCAGAATCCCTTCTTTCTCCCATCGATTGGGTTCCCAGAGCTCAGCCTGGCGCCTGGCCATGGATCTCTGCATCTGCCTCCATTAGTCACTGGACAAAGGCTCTATGATGACAGTTAGGGTATTCACTAGACTGCTCACCAGAGTAGATCAGTCCAGGCACCCTCTGAACCACTGCCAGCATGACTCCAAGGTGGGGTCATCTTTGTGGATTCCTGAGAGCCTCTCCGGTACCCTGCCTCTTCCTATTCCCATGATGTCCTCATCTATCATGGTATCTCCCTCCCTGCCTTCCTGCTCTGTCCCTGTTCCAGCTCGACCCTACCATTTCCCTATGTTCTCATTCCCCACTTCTCCCCTCTGCCACCACCACCCCCACTCCCAGTCCGCTCATGTAGATATCATCCACTTCTCCTTCTGGACCATCCATGTGTCCCTCCTACAGTCTTTCCCTGTTAGCTAGCCTCTCTGGAGCTGTGAGTTGCAGTCTGGCCATCCCTTCCCTCACAACTAGTATCCACTTATGAATGAGTACATACTGTGTTTGTCCTTCTGAGTCTGGGTTACCTCACTCAGGATGATATTTTCTAGTTCCATCCATTTCATCATGTTCTTGACCCCAGAATCAAGGTTAAGTGGCAGGACACTGACACAGCAACACCACCCTTTCTTCACAGTGGCCTTCCTGTGGACTGCATCTGTAGTTTGGGATCTGTGTGAATGCTTTCAGCCACCACCATGGCACAGAAAATACTTAAAAAGTAGAAATCTTTTATATACTATGTGGCTTTTCAGAGTACATGCTTCAAGAATAACAAAAAAAAAATGGTTTTCATGTATATATTGCAGATACACTTTGTAAGTAGGTAAACCTCTGGCACCACAAGCATGGTGTTAGTGATTGCTCATTCATGCTGAATACTGCTTACTTTGTGTTATATATGGAAGTATATATCTTTGAAAATCAAACTCTTTGCTCTTTTTTATTTTCTTTCTGCACTCTGTATCCATTAATATTATGCTATAGGACTGTCTTGTTGTCAATGGGATAACTTAAATCAATAGTTTAAGAATGGATACAATTTTGAATGATTAAAAAAACAGTACCAATGAGAAACTATAGACATTAACAATACTTTAGCAAAATGGATGGTATAGAAGACAAAAATAAAACTACAATGTGTACAATAATAAATATACGGTATTTTTAAACATCAGTAATTGTGTACTTGATACAATACAACATTTTTAAATCATAAAACTTTTAAAGAAAGCACAAAATGAGCACAGAAGCTTTAGTGTCTATGGATCCTGAAGGAGATAGCCAATGGCTAGAATCCCAGCGCTTGAGAGGTGGAGGCAGGAGGATTAGGAGTTTAAAACTGTCTTTGGATACAGAGCCAATTTGAGGCCAACTTGGGTTATATGAGACTCTATCTCAAAAAAGTAAACAACTGAACACAAAATAGAAACAGCATGAGCCTATTAAAGTTAATGAAAACAAGAAGAAATAAGGATAATAAGGGTAAACTCCACAGATGATCATATGCCAGAAAAAAACATATATAAATATATAATATGTATATGTATATATTTAAATACATAATATAGAGAATCAATATTATGTAAATATTATATTTTATTTAAAAGATCAAAATATTAATATTGTAAGAACATCACAGGGCAACATTCTAACGGTTTATTTGTTGTTTTATTGCCTATGTGTATGCATGTGTGTATGTACAAATGTGTGTGTGGGTACTCTCAGAGGCCAGAAAAAGGTGTCAAATCCCCTGAAGCTGGAATTACAGGTCTTTGTGAGCCCCTGATATGTATAAGTGCTGTAGACCAAACTCCAGTCCTTAGAAGATCAGCAAGCACTCTTACCCACAGAGCTATCTCTCCAGCCTCCCAACAAAAATTTTAATAAGAATTTTAAAAGATATAAAGGAAAAAATCATCCATGTTTGTGAATGAAAAGATGTGATGCAAAAGTTCCTCTTTTATCCGAAAACTTATCCATATATAATCCCAAACAAAACAGTGCTATTTTATAAATAACACAGAAATTCTGAAGTTAATCTAGAAAATTAAGGCATCAGTGGGAATTAAAATTGAAGAGAATAGTGAAAGGAAGGAAGCTTTGTGTGTATTAAACTTACTGGTATTTACACAAAAATAACCAAAAATAGAAACGTTAGATTCCTGGGATAGAATTGTACTCTGTGTATGTACATGTGTACACATATGAGTGTCTATGTGTGTCATAGCGAAGTGTCATATAGTGAAGACTATGATAAAATAAGCATAATAATCACTTGATGAGAGAAGCAGAACCTATGCTTAACTACTCAAAATCAGTTTGTTTATATATCTCTCATTAATAGCAAAATCAATTCCATGTAAATTAATTATGATATAAACCAAAAAGTCAATCATTAAAAATTAATAGACATTCAGAAACAAATATTGGTAAAAATTTTTAAGGAAAGAATAATATTCTATGATTGTTTCTTGTTTGGATAATGGAATATAAATATAAATGTTTTAAAGTTTATATATAGCAAATTAAGTGGATATTTCACAGCACATTAAAAACACCAAACAGAAATTGGGGAAAAGATAACCAAAATAATCAACGTTTGTGTTCTTTTGCACTTGTCTAGAATTTTTCTAAAAGGCTCATTGAGAATTTAGTATGTTCAAAAGACCACATTATTGGTGAGACCTATTCCTCTTCCTTCAGCCTAGATAATCATAGTTTTTTTCTGTTTCCCCTTAATCTACAGGCAGATGCTGAGAACAAGACATCCCATGATATGGGTACCACCCTGCATGCAACCAACAGCTCAGAGTTTCAAGTGTCTGAGTTCATCCTTCTGGGATTCCCAGGCATTCATGAGTGGCAGCACTGGTTCTCCTTGCCCATGGCTCTGCTTTACCTTGTAGCTCTTGGTGCTAATCTCCTCATCTTGATCACCATCTACCATGAGCCTAGCCTGCATCAGCCAATGTATCAGTTTCTTGGTATCTTAGCTGTAGTAGATATTGGCTTGGCTACCACCAGCATGCCCAAGATCCTGGCCATCCTGTGGTTTGATGCCAAGGCCATCAGCCTCCCTGAGTGTTTTGCTCAGATCTATGCAATCCATTCTTTTATGTGCATGGAGTCAGGCATCTTTCTATGCATGGCAGTGGATAGATATGTAGCCATTTGTTATCCCCTTCAGTATCCTTCCATAGTCACTGAAGCTTTTGTAATCAAAGCCACACTATCCATGCTTCTCAGGAATGGCCTGCTAACCATCCCAGTGCCTATACTAGCTTCACAGAGACAATATTGCTCCAGGAATGAAATTGATCACTGCTTGTGCTCTAACTTGGGGGTCACTAGTCTGGCCTGTGATGATATTACTGTTAACAGGTTCTACCAGTTAGCTTTGGCCTGGCTTATGGTTGGAAGTGACATGATTCTTGTCTTTACTTCCTATGCATTGATTATTCGCACAGTGCTGAGGCTGAATTCCACTGAAGCAATATCTAAGGCCCTCAGTACCTGCAGCTCCCACCTCATCCTCATTCTGTTCTACTACACAGCTATTATTTTAGTATCTGTCACTCACCTAGCAAAAAGAAAGGTTCCCCTCATCCCTGTTCTCCTCAATGTGCTGCATATTGTCATTCCCCCATCTCTCAACCCCATGGTATATGCCCTTAGGACACAGGAGCTGAGGGTTGGCTTCCAGAGGGTGCTGGGCTTGAGTGAGTTTGTGTCTAGGAAGTAAAACTCACTATAGATGACAGAACACCAAATGCAGTATTGCAGAAAAAGAAAGCATAGACTTTGAGCCCAAAATACCGGGTTAAAAATTCCATTTCTCCCAATTTCCAGGGGTATTGACTCAAACTCGTCTACTTTGGATAGTACAATGCATGTGCAAAGTACTGCTGGAAGCTTTTCGTAATGTTCTCACTTCCTGTGACATCCTCTGGTACAAGTATAGTTCTTTGTAAGTTCTGCAGATGTGGAAAATGAATAGAGAAACTTTACCAAGGTTAACTAAAAAGTTACAACATGAGATTTGAACTCAGATAGTCTCCAGAGTCTCTGCTCTTAACCCTTTCTCTCCATTCACCTCATTACTAATTTTAAAAAGGAAGCTAGGATAGTAAAGCAAGTTAAAATTATATATTACTTTTAGTAAAATTACATTTAGAGCATGGCAGTAGATATGAATGCCAGCAACAGAATACGCAGTTCTACAACCATCAAGAAGAGGAAGGTGGAAGCTAGAGAGATGTCTCAGAAGTTAAAAGCACTTGTTGCTCTTGTAGAGGACCAGGGTTTGATTCCCAGAACCCACATAGTGGCTCACAACTGTCTAACTGCTGTCCCAGGGGATCTGATGCCCTCTTCTGGGCTCCTCGAGCATGCATTTGGTACACAGAAATACATACAGGCAAAAACACTCATATACAAAACATAATAAAATAAACTAATCTAAAAAATATTTTTTAAAAAGAAGAGGAAGATGTCTGTGACTACAGTTTCACTGAGGAACAGAAAGTGATCAAGTCCAAGTTGTAGGGAAAAGGGGCTGGCTAGAGAAACCCACCCTGACCCTGGAGCCCAGAACTAGGGAAAGATGGCTCAGATCAGGGCAGAAAGAAACATAGTTTGGCTCAGTCAGATCAGAGCCATCTCTGCCCCTGGCCAACTGACTTGTGAAACCAATGAGTCACAGAGCCCTGGGGCCCAAGTCAACCCCTGGTTGACTCCACCCCCAAGACATCCTATGTAAACTACCCTGACTGGTCTGTTAGGCAAAAAAAAAAAAAGGGGGGGGGGGCTATTCTCTCCACCCTGGTAGAGGCAGCTACTCTCCTGGACTCCTCCTACCCAAATAAATATCTTTCTCAAAAGAGTTTTGGGTGTGAAGATATTCATTTACTGGCATAGAGAAGATCCTTGCTGAGACATCCTTCAGTGGACAAAACAAAGGAGAGCTGAAAGAGCAGAGCAAGGAAGAACTAAACAGAAGATATTTGCTGAGACGTCCCTCAGTGGATAGAGCAAGAGAGAGCTGAAAAAGCAACACTTTTCTCTGGAACCAGAGGAGATTGCTACATTTCTGCAGAGGTTCCCCCTTTTGCAGAGTAAAGCAAAAGAAGCAACATCTTAGGCCAGAGAAGCAGCGTTCTGCTAGGAAGCCCCCTTAAATGGGGCTTAGTTGTAGTGGGTCTCCAGGAAAGGAGCAGGATTGCTATATTCTGCAGGGAGACCATCCCCCATCACATCAGGTATACCCTGACTTTCCCTAATAGTCAGGATAACCTTCCCTGCTGAAGCAGTTCCAGGCCTGACTTTCCCAAGAAGTCAGAAAAATCTCCCTTCCAGGGTTGGGCTGCTGCTTTGCAGTTTCAGCCATCAAAGCTGTGCTAAACAGCTCCCCAGGTGTCTGGGACACCTTCAGGGCAAAGCTGTTGTTCTGAGCAGCTTGAGGTGTCCGGGATACATCACCCTCTAGGGCTGAACTGTCTCCTTGCAGCTTCAGCTGTCAGAGCTCTCCTAAGCAGCTCTAGGTGTTGCCTGACTCCCCAGGTAGCCAGGACACCTTTCCCCAGAGTTGCAAAACTCACGTTTCAGTGCTGATATCCGGGACCAAACCCACAGAGTTGCAACAAATTTACTTACACAAGTATCCTCCAGTCAATCAGGAGTATGAATATATATATATATATATATATATATATATATATATATATATATATATATATATATATATTCAGATCCTATGACTGAGGTACAGATCCTATTTCATGCTCTTGTAGATATTTGGGGAGGAGCATTTGAAAAGTGTACAAAGCCATGTTTAATCAAATGACAAACACTGAGACTAAGAAACCCTTCTAAACAGTAAAATAAAATCTCAAGGAAATTATCACTGTCCATGCACCTCACAAATCAAAAACCAAAGTAATAACATATTCTTCAAGGCAAGTCTATACTGAAGAGAAACCAGAAGATCTTTTTCTTTTTTTATTTTTATCTATTCTTCTCTTATACAAACATCCCAACAGCATCCTCCCCTTCCTCCACTCCTCCTAGTTCCCTCCCACATCCTCTCTCCCCAAGATCCACTGCTCCTCTATTTCCCTTCAGAAAACAGCAAAGCCCAGAATTTTTTGTGATTGTTCACATTTAAGATAGAAAAATATTTCTGTGAAAAACTGAATTTTCTCTTTCTTTTGTGAAGATGAAATGGTTCAATTTCTACAGCGTCTTTTGCCGAATGTAACCTTACAGAACAAAAATTTAAAGATAACTTAGAAAAGTGAAAATCTGGACATAGCCATGGTCTCTGGTCCCAAGACAATAGGTTCCTCAATTCTTGAAGAAAACAAAGAAGTCAGCAACAATTTTCCTATCTGATGAAAAATATAGTACTTCTTAAATCCTCTACAAGCAGCCACCCTAGACAACTTTTTAGTAAGAGTTTGACAGGGGTTACTTTTTCAGTTCACAAATTCTTGAATTAATTTGCCTTAGAGCTCTACAAAGAATAAAGCAAAAATATTTTTAAAAAATAAAACATTCAAATTGATTCGAACTTCTCTAGTGAAATATAAAAATCGTTACGGAGTCTTACAGTTCATTGGCAACACAAAGAACAACAGAGGCTCTAAACCAGAATCACACCACAAGACAAGTGATGCTTGAGTAGAGCAAAGACGAATAGAACAAATTTGTTTGTTTCCTATTTCAATGTCCAAGTATGTATTAACAAATATGAAATATTGCATCAAGACAATGTGTGTGCATTAGGAGATTTCCTGACACAATAGCATGGCATTGTGATAGACTTCAGGGTAAGACCAATTATGCCAGTAAATTTAGAAGCCCAAGTATGAGAACTTTAGACTATTGACTCTCAAGCAGTTAAATCATCTTTCCTTTGGCATGGTCAGTTAGATGACATAGTCATCCTTCTCTGGATAAAGCAAAATTTGACCCTGTGTGTTTATCTGACATTTTTCAATCATACTAAGACTATGTTAGTCATGTTCCATCATTGTAACAAAACATTGGAGAAAAACAACTTAAAGAAGAAAAAAATGGGACTTATATTTTCAGGCCATGCTCAGCTAGCTCCATTGCTTTTATTTCTGTGGCAAGGAAGAGACATCAGGGCAGAGAGGCATGTGTTGCTCACTTCATGGAAGTCAGAAACTACAGAAAGAGTAGGAAAGGTTTATAGACAAGACCCATCAAATCCATGCTCCTAGTAACCTACATCCTCTAACTAGGCCCCACTTCCTAAGAGCTTATGTACCTATGAACTCATCAATGGATTAATTTGTTGATGATGCTAGTGCTTTCATAAGCCAATTACCTTTCACAATATTTCCACTAGCTGGGGACCATGCCTTCAACACATAGTCCTTTTGGGAAGAATCTTCATATCTTAACTATAACATTCTACTCCTTGCCATCTTGTCCATCTTCTAATACAAAATGCATCTACTTCTGTGATTTCCTGAAGTATCACTGTTTCAACACTTCTCAAAAGTCCAAAGTTCAAAGTCCCCTTTGAGACTCAAGACAGACTCCTACCTTGAGCATTCCCCTCCCCTGCAAAAAAAAATCAGACAGTTAATCACTTCCAAAATATAATGATATAAAACAAACATTCTCATTCAAAAGGAGTAATATGGGCACAAAAAGAAATGGTACCCAAGCAAGATCAAAACCCAGGAGGACAAGCATGAACTTGAAACTCCATGTCCATCATCAAGGGCACATAGTGAGTGCTGTAATGTAAACTCCAAAGGGCTGAGATAGCTTCTTCATTCATATGGTTGTCCTTGGTACAGTCCAAATGGCATGTCTCTTGGGCTAGTTCTGTTTATTGGGTAACTTTCTTTACTCATCATATCTTCCATGTTCTTGTCATCTCTAACTGCCAGGGGTCCTCATTCTAGCTCTAATTTTACTTTCACAGTTGTGTGCATTGTCCTTTCATGGCCTACTATAGGGATTCTGACCATTCTACATACTATCTAGTCTGTCAGGCCTTTCTTTGAATGGATATCTCCATGACTCCACAATTCTTGCATCCTGAAGTCCTACAAAACCAACACTGAACGTCTAATAGTAAGAGAAGCAGTGAGAGTGAGAATGCCAGCCTAGTAATTAATGAGGCAGCACAGCAGAAAAATCTCGCAGCTCTGTCCTACCACACATAACTCTCAGATTAATAATGGGTCCTAAAATATTGGAGATTGAGCAGGGAGACAGGGCATGGACTTAGAAAGTTATAAACTATCATTCCCTATGAAGTATGAAGCTCAAACATATTTCAAGCCATTAGCATACTCCACCTCTCCCCGGCAAGTTACATCAGAGGCATGCTGTGGGATGTCTTTCTGTATGCTGTGAATATGTGTTACTCCTTGGATAATAAATAAAGCTGTTTGGGCCTATGGCAAGAAAGCTTACAGCCAGGTGGGAAATCCAAGCTGAGACACAGAGAGAAGGGCAGAGTCAGGGGAGACGCCAACCTACCATCCAAGGAGCAACATGTAATGGGATGCAGATAAAGCCAAGGAACACGTGGTGATACATAGAGTAATAGTTATGGGTTGAGTTAAGTTATAAGAGCTAGCTAGTAAGAAGCCTGACCCATAGGCCATATAATTTGCAATTAATATTAAACCTCTGAGTGATTATTTTATAAGTGGTTGTGACACCACGGGGCCAGGTGGGACCATGGGGCTGAGGGGGCGGGGGACCAGAGAAACTTCTGGCTACAAAGGAATACAGCCATATCCCAAGAAAATCTACTAGAAAGGAAAACAACTGCACAGCCAATGACTAGACTGAGTTTGACTAAACTTTAAACAATGTTTCTTCCTGGCTATAGGCCTTAATCTCCATTTCTCACAGCATTTGTTTCAGAAAATTGTTATTGAAAATGCTTTCCTTTAAAATGCCTATAAACCTTCTCCTGGAGTCTCATCTACTTTAAATCATGTCATGCTTTTCTCAAGGACCTGGAGAACATCTTCTGAAATGTAGGTATTGAAGAAGATAGAGCCCAAGTCTCAGTGTCTGTAGGCACTTAGAAGACTGACTTCAACAGGCGCCAATTAACATACACAGATGGCCTAGCCTCAGAGAAAACCATTTACAAACTTGGGACTAACTCAATGTGTGCCACAAACGCCATCAATCAAACTTTCCACTGAAGTCCTCAAAGGGTTTCCCACTACCTCATCCCAGTGCTTAGATCCAATCACCCCACTCCCAAACCAAGGCCATGCCCCCTTTTCATTCTAGCAAAGCAGCATTTCCAGGCTTGGTCTCCAATAGCATTGAGGAAAGGAAAAGTAAAATTCTGCTTTCATGACCTGCCCAGTGCAATCTTTCCTCAGCACTGAAAACAATCAGGTTTGTTGAGCAACTTCCACAAGAATGAGCAGCATCAATGTAACAGCTCACATCCAAAGAGACAGTACGCATTCATTCAACAATTTACACCAAAAACATTGTCAAAGTAAACCTTTTTATACTTTTTCATTAGGATTCCAGCCATTTGTCCCTACAGGGTTAGGGACTATGGAATTACCTACAGTAATTACCTACAGTAAGGTAAGTGGGCAATCACTTAGAATCTCTGAACTGACTACTTCGCCGCCATTGTCCCTATCTCTTTATAAGGAAATATTTCTCAAATTATTCTAATTTGAATAAGCCATCTGCTATCTAATGAGACCCTAATACAAGACTGGTTGGATTTTGGATTATGAGGTTCCTAGAAAAAGCTATTTAGTGTTGTAATAGGACACGAGATGGATAGCCACACACTAAAGAAATGAGGATATGAAGGCAATATACAAAGAAGTCAGATCAGTGAAAGGCAGGCCCTAGGAATACAGGGTAAGACCAGGAAGTACAATGGGAGACCAAAGGAAAAATATTTGGAATACAGGTTTCTTTTTAAGTTAGAAACCCTTGGCATCTTCATATGCTGAGGGGCATGATGCCAGAAAGAAAAAAGATCTGCTGGGTACTTGGGAGGCAGAGGCAGGTGCATCTCTGAGACTGAGTCCAGCCTGATCTACAGAGTGAGTTCCAGGATACCCAGGGCTACACAGAGAAACCCTGTCTCAAAAAGAAAGAGAGAGAGAGAGAGAGAGAGAGAGAGAGAGAGAGAGAGAGAGAGAGAGAGAGAGAGAGAGAGAGAAAGGAAGGAAGGAAGAAAGAAGAAAGAAAGAAAGAAAGAAAGAAAGAAAGAAAGAAAGAAAGAAAGAAAGAAAGAAAGAAAGAAAGAAAGAAAGAAAGGGAAAAAGAGAAAGAAGAAAGAAAAATAGTAAACTTTTCAGAGAGGAAATAGGGGATACAATCACCTCTCATTTTAAACACACAAATAAGTTCCAAAATTACTGATATTTTAGAAAACATTTGACTCTAACTAAATTTCATATTTGCATAAGAGCAACTCTACCCATTAGAACTACTTACTGAATGCAGCATTAAAAGGCAAAATTACAATAAACCTAGTTTATGGGTTAAATTGAATTTTATCTATCATTTTAAAATTGAACACCAACTTACTCCACAAAATACAATAAACATTTCCATGAACTGAGCAGAGGAGCCTGTAGGCAAGTGCTGAAGAAAGGGAAAACAGCAAAAAGTAGATTGGTTGTTTCTGTTACTTTCCCTAAAGGGTTAAAATTGAAGGGCCTTCTGTTTTGTACTGATTCAAGTTGACTGGAACCTATTGTATGAAAAAAAACAACTAGCCCAGTATACAGTTCAGATAAATTACATGAGACTTAGCACAAGTGACTCCATTCTGCTTTGGTCTGGTGGAGCCTTGTGCAGGAACCTAGACCAAAACTATGACTTCATGTATAATTTGTTAGCAGCATACTATTTCAAGATGAAGGTGAGATGCAGAGAAGTATGCATAACACACACACACACACACACACACACACACACACACACACACGCACACACACACACACACACACACCACTTTTTTGTTTGCTTTTATTCCTGTATGATTTTGTAACTATCCTCCTATGACTGTGCTGAGGTATTCCCTTAGTGGTAAGAAGCCATGCTGTCAATCAACTGGGCGTATGAAACAGATCTTATACACAAGAGTATAATATAACACAATATAACAACACAATATAACACAATATAACACAATATAACACAATATAACATAACATAACATAACATAACATAATATAATATAATATAATATAATATAATATAATATAATATAATATAATATAATATTATACTTACAGTGGGGAGTGAGAGAGAATGGAGGGATGATTTGTCACTTACATATTCCATACTGTCAGGACACTTCTATATTCCACACCCTAAAACAGAATCTGCACTTACATATTATCTGAATGGAAGATGACTTTCTAAATCACTCGCAGTATATTGGTACATTCCCCTTCTGATAAGACAACCTGCAAATGTTATATGATTATGCAAGACTGGGATCAAAATGAAGACCCAACATCCTACCTGAATGGGCAAACATCTAGTTTCTAAGCCTTTCCCTCTGTTCTATAAACCAATAAATTCTAATTCTCCTTGAACAACTTGTATCTATCAGCAGCAATCCTAAAGCCAAGAAGAAATTATGTTATTTAATTAAAACTCTTAATTTTTCTTGCATAATCTGTGAGTGGACAGAGTTAACACTTCTCTATGTGACTACAATGTTCAGAAAACTAAGAGACAGTTGAGGGCTAGCTCTGTGCTGGAGTATGTGCCTAGTATGCCTGGGGCCTAGATCCTTAACACCAGAGAAAAATAAGAAGAAAAGAGGGTGGAGAAGATGATGAGAAGGAAGAAGAGGAAGGAGTGAAAGAAGGAGTAGACAAGAAAGACTACGACTAAATGTGATTTCCTTAGAATGGTCATATATTTTGCAATAAAATCCAAAGACTGCTAAAATTATTCCATGTGCCATTTTATATTATTAGAATATATTTTTACTGTTTTTAATGGTAGTAAAACTAGGAAGAAAACAGTGTGTCTAGCACAGAGTGCCTATTCCTGCAGCTACCTAACAAATTCACTATGGATGGTTCAAATGGTCAGAGAAAGTAAAAGGGGTGTATTTCCCCATAGATTAAAATAATGTAGGTGAGTGGGGTGCCATATACCTGAAATTCCAACACTTGGGATGCAGAGGCTAGCTTGATCTACAAAGAGAAGACTTATCCTGAACACACACCCACACACACACACACACACACACACACACACACACACACACACACACACACACATACACACACACATACACACACACACAAAATTGGGAACTGAAGCAGCCTTCAGAGACATCCAGAGATGGATCCATGCTTGACAATGAGCTACCTGAGAAACAGGGTCTGGATGTGGAACAATGATAAGAATCAGTAGGAAATCAGAACTACGTAGTTTCATACAGAATGACACGGGGGGGGGGGGGGGTCAAAAACTTCAGTACAGCCACAAGTAATCAGCACTTAAATCAGGATGGGTGAATTTGAAAGCCATGTTCAGGTATCTATAGGAAGCTTCATTCTTTCCCAATGAGATAAGCACTTCATCCATGACCTGCAATTTGAGACTAAAACACAAGAGCTAGGGGTAAAAGATGAACACTGGAACTGTTCTAACTAACCCAGTAGTCCACCTGACGAAGCACACAAAGAACAGTTATGGCTGTGGGCAGTGTTAAGGTGCCCCAAACACAACTGCACTGTCCTTTGAAATTCCTGGTAGTTAAATATACTTCTTGGCACACAGCAGTTCTAAGAATCAGAATAATTCAGTGACTGTATTAGTAAGAGAACAACTTCAAATGCTCAGTTGCTTAGTGCAACAAAACACTGGGCTGTCCGCAAACCAAAAAATGTAAAACGCTGTGTCCTTTCTGGATGAGTGACTGCGGGTGGTGCTCCTCCATGTGTTTACCCAGACTTCTAAAACCATTTCACTTTAAATGCTGCTGACTTCCATGTGTCCTCCAGAGGTCATGGGGACTCTGCAGGATACCTAATGACCTAAATGTGTAAGACACACATTATTTCTGCCCATACTGATGAGTCAGTCTTGTGGCCCCATCTAGAGGCCAGATTACAAAGTCTCCAATAGCTTCCCAGGAACTTTTGTCCTGTGTGGCTGGTGGTTAGCAGGATGTGTGTTCTTGGTGATCTCTCACCCTCTACATGGCTGGAAGTAAGTGAGCGAATAACCACACAAAGGGTGTGAAATGTGAATAGTAGCTGAGTTATGAGAGAAACTGGAGAGTTCAGTGATGACAGTAAGAGTTAGTGTGTTCTGTGAGATCAGACCACCTGCCTCTCAAACGCACAGCACTACCAGAAGAGATACTGGGAAAGAAAAGGTTGGTCATGTGTGTTGGCTACATGTCTGAGGTAGCTAAATGTGAACTGGGCAGAAAATATGTGGAAATAATTGGTCACTTTCCAAGCAGGAAACAAAATGTAAATGGTGAGTGTATTGGAGTCTACAGGCAACACAACTAATTCCCACAGACTTAGTGGCTTGAAACAATATGTCTTTATTCTCTTCCAGTTCTACAGGTCAGAAGTCTGAAATGTGTTTCCCAAAGCTAAACAAAGGCATGGGCAGGGCTGTGTGCCTTTATGGAGTTAACTCCATAAGCCATGGGAGAATCTGTCTCCTCTGCTCACATTTCTTGGCTTGTTGTACCGATTCATCTCCAACACTAGCAAAATCCAGTTGTGTCTCTCCCATTCACAACACTAGTCTCAATAGCTCTGCGGCTTTTTGTCATTTGTGGGGCCCTTGTGACTAACTTAGATTTCACTCACAAAACCCAGGGTAATATTCTTATTCTAAGGTCTGCTGTTTGGCAACCTTAATTGAATATGTAACCTTAATTTTCCTTCTCCATATAATCCAATTCCCACATTCCACAGATTGGGATACATATATGTCAGTGGGAGAGGCACATTGGATTAAAAATAAACTGAACCCTGTGGAGATGGAAAAATGCACTGCTTCTAGGTAAACATCAAACAATAAGAAATGATTTTTTTCAAAGCTTTAAGCAAAAATATCCCAACCAAACTTGTCAGTTAAATAAAATGTTTAAGGAAGAAGTCTGTGGTATGGGTGTGGTACCCAATAAACACTTCACATAAAGCAATGAACGGTAATGGTCAGAGTAAAGATAGACCTTTCCCAATAAAGCACTATAACTCCAGATTACCCACCAGTAAGTTGGAGAGATGAACACGAGGCTAGCAAGGGGGAAATACAGAGAAGTTAAGAATTATACCTCTAGAGGACTTTGGGATGTGCGGGTTGGCATGCAGTGAAATCAAACTATGAGAGGTCTCCTAGGGCTCTAATAAATGTATCTTGCCAAAAAAAATCTAACAGCTCAACTAAGAAAACATTTGAACTATTAAAAATTAACTTAAGGCCAGGCATAGTAGCTGTGATCCCAGCAAATTTAAGGCCAGCCTGGTCTGCAGAGTGAGTTCAAGACCAATACAGTTACATGACAAGACACTGACTCCAAAATAAGTAAGTAAGTAAGTAAATAAATAAATAAGAGCCCTATAACTCTTAGACCAACATTTTAGCACCAGGAAAGAAGAATGAGTGTTCAAAGGTACATGAGGATATAGGTGATTTTCACATTTTAACCACAACATCCACTATGTGAAGAAGAGCTCCTGCCACAAGCAACATTTTAAATGAAATAGCAATATTTCTTTTGCTAATTCCCCAGAAATTCTATGATTTGTTATGTAGGGTAGCCTAAGCTATTCTTTCAAATGTAGACATATTTATTTTGAGATGCCTGTGAGATGCAGAAAGGGAGATGGCAAGAAATCGTTCAATGTAGCTGAAGACAAGTCAGCTCGCTCTCCAGAATCTCAGCTATCTATCTACACTGCTGAGCCCACCAGGCTCCATGGTAGTTCCAAACCCACGAACATGGGTAGCCCTGGTTAAATTCAGAGGGTCACAAAACAACAACCAAAAAAGGCCTGGATGTGAGCAAAGGACTGGAATGTGGGAGATGGCAAGAGATAGTAAGGGCTGAGGTGCTGGAGAGATGGCTCAGCAGTTAAGAACACTGGCTGTTCTTAAAGAGGACGCAGGTTCAGTTCCCAGCCCATACAATCTGTAACTACAGTTCTAGGGGACCTGACACCCTTTTGGCCTCTGTAGGCATCAGGCATGTACATGGTGCACAGACACAAATGCAGGCAAAAACACCCATACACATATTTTTTAAATTTTTAATTTCACAAAAAAAAGATGCCTTTAATCCCAGCACTCAGGAGGAAGAGGCAGGCAGATCTCTGTGAGTTCGAGGCCAGCCTGGTCTGCAGAGCAAGATCCAGGACAGGCACCAAAACTACACAGAGAAACCCTGTCTCAAAAAACAACAACAAAAAAAAGTGAGGCTGAAAGCAATCAAAATGCATTATATGTAATACATGAAATTGTCAAAAATGGAATTTAGTTATGAAAAAGAAAGAGCTGAATATATGAATGTGGCTCTCTAAAGAAAAGTCTAAGATAGATTATTAATTTGGAAATATTCATAATTTGTGAGATTTAAAGCCAGACAATTGATTAAGGAAAAAAACTATAATGGACTTAAGAGTTAGAATTTCTAGATTCCATGTCGATTTTATATTACCAATATGATCTGATCACATTTATTCTTTGTTCATGCATTCAGCCCAAATACTTAGTACTCTATGGATTGTGCCTAAGCTGCATCACATGACCCACTTGCTAAATGAAAAAGCAGAATTTTTGCATATAATAATAATCAAATTCCCTTACATGTAAATACAATCAACTCCAACCTTAACATATTTAAACACTTTGGTGTTTTTCAAGGCACTCTTTGATATTTTCACCTAATTCTATATTTACTGCAGCTGTGTAGCACTGACAGCCACGATGCCGGAGAATACAATGCTCATGATGCAGTCTGAATGGGCAAGCACGGGAGGGAAGAGAGGCCTCTGGACACACTGGAAATCTCACAAAAATAAAATTGAAAATATATTTTTCAGTCAACATACTTCAAATTAAAAGTAAAGTTACTGAGAATCCATATAATGCCAGGCATCATATCAAGTGGTTCATATACTCAATTCAATCCTCACAATAAGCTTATAACATAAGTAGATGAGGTTTTTATTTTATGGGTTGAGATTAAATTTCTAAAGTATGAACTTCCCATGGCTCACAATCAGACCAAAATAGAACCAGGATTTGAACCCACATATACTTTATTCTAGAACCCATTTGCTTTCTGCTGCAGATAATACAGTGCCTGAATGTGGGAACTCACCAGCAAGTTCTTTCTCATATTGGTAAGAGAGCATTGAGAACTGTGATCGCTCTCAAGACTTCCACACAACAGACAACATGTGAGTCATGCTGTCCCTAATTTGCTTGGTCTTCGCACCATAGATGATAGGGTTAAGCATGGGAGGAACTAACACATAGAGATTTGCCAGAAGAATGTGTACATGGTGGGGGATGTTCTTGCCAAAGCGGTGGGTAAGGAAAGTGAAAAATGATGGTATGAAGAAGAGGAGAATTACTCCAATGTGAGAGCCACAGGTGTTGAGAGCTTTGTGCCGGGCATCCTGGGAAGGAAGTCTAAACACAGCCTGGAGGATCAAAGTATAAGAAATACCAATGAGTGCAACATCTACCAAAACTGAAGCCATTGGCACTGAGAAGCCATACCAGATATTGACAGTGATGTCAGCACAGGCCAACCTGGCTACACCAATATGCTCACAGTATGAGTGTGGGATGATATTGGTCCTGCAGTATGACAGCCTCTTCAGCAGGAATATGATAGGGAAAATGGTCCCAATGCTCCGTCCCCAGATGGCCAAGGTCATTTTTCCAATTGCCATGGGAGTTAAGATGGCTGAGTATCTCAGAGGAGTACAAATAGCCACATAGCGGTCAAATGCCATGGCCAGCAGGATTCCTGACTCAGCCACAAACGCAACATGAATGAAAAACATCTGAGTAATGCAGGCATCAAAGAGGATCTCCCCAGCATGGAACCAGAAGATAGCCAAGGCCTTGGGCACAGTGGTGGTTGACAGGAGAATGTCAGTGCCAGCTAGCATGGATAGAAAGACATACATGGGCTCATGGAGGGTGTGTTCACTCAGAACAACAAGGATCAGGGCTCCATTTCCCAAGACTGCAGTGATGTACATGAGACAAAAAGGGATAGAAAGCCAGATGTGATATTGCTCCAGTCCTGGGATTCCAAGTAGGATGAACACAGTTGGATGGATGATGGTGAGGTTAGCTCCAAGCATGCTTGCTTTTGAAGTCTCCCTGTGAAGACTAAACAAAAAAGGAGAGGCAGGAGGAAGAGGCAGTCATAAGTTCTGGTAGAGGGTGAACAAACATCATAGTGACTCAAAGTGAATAGTGTTACCCCTCCACTTGCCACATTAGCACTGCAAATACAAACAAGTGTTCTTGACCACACTTGTTCTCACTTTCACATTAACTCTTTCCCAGGCTTTGATCACTCCCCTGATCATTACAACTGTATCCCCATGCCAGGCAAGACTCCCCATCTCCTGCTTCCCATCCTCACCCCTTTATACTCAGCAGCTCTGATAACAGCCTTTGTGACAGGCTCTAAACAACGTTTGTGGTGGTCTGTTTTGTTTTGATGTGTGTGTGTGTGTGTGTGTGTGTGTGTGTGTGTGTGTGTGTGTGTGTGTGTAAGAGTGTACACATTCGTGTAATGGCTAGGGGAAGAAGACATCAGATATCTTTATCACTCACCACTAGATGTCTCACTGAACCTGAAGCTTGAGGTCTTATCTAGGTTGGCTGGCCACCAAACTTGCAGGATCCTCCTGTTCTATCTCCAAACACTGGAATTACAGGTACTTACAACCATGCCCAGCTTTTTGTGTGGGTACTGGAGATTTGAACCCAGATCCTCCTGCTTTCAGTCACTCGTGCCCACTAGCCATCGCCCCAGTCCCTATGTTTTTTTAATAACCCTATCAACTTATAAATTAAAGCCAAAACTTTTCAAACATAGAAAACCCTCCACAATCCTGCATTATTCTTTTTTTCCAGCTTTAGACACACTGTCAAAGTTAATTTACAGTGTCACCTGCTCTCCACTCAACCTGAATTTTCCAGTTTTCTTCTCTTTTGACAAACACTTCTTCACCTAAAACAAATTGCTCTACCCTGAAAGTCTTCCAGTTTCCAGCCTATATATTACCACCCAGGAAGCCCTCCTCCACTCAAATCCTGAACTTCTTCTGACCTTTTGTTACTGATTTTTTTTAAAGGCAAGTGTTTTACATCTTAGGAATTTGGCATGATCTGTAATACTGAATTATTCATACTTTTCTTGTCAGAATTAAATACACTCTACATACTGCCTAACACAGTGCCTAGCATGGAAATACAAAATCAGTGGTAACTACTGTTAGTGAACAAATCAGTACAACTTAACAGAAATCCAAGCAACTAATGGAAATGCATTCGGAATTTACAATTTCAATCTAATGGGGAAAAATCTATTCAATTAATGTCATTGGGATATAGAATTATTTCCCAACTCATTAGGAATTCCACATAAAGTGTTATGCCTAAATAGCAAAACTATAAAAATATTCAAAATTAAAACAAGTGTTTTAAGATAAAACATTTTTTATATTGGAAAGATCTGAGTAAAATAAGAGAACCAGGTTCCATAGAAAGTAGCAAATGACTGACAACTTTATAGAAATAGAGTGGAGGATTCCAAAACTAAGTGATTCTAGGAGAAATATCTATAGGAAGCTTGCAATAGAAAAAAGATTGATGTCCTGAAATAATAAAAATTGGTGAAAACACATAATATATTTTAAGCATGAAAAGAATTAAAATGGATGATCTATACTATAATAAAATCAGTCTGTACATAAGAATAGATGATCAATCACATAAAATTTAAAGAAATGAACTATATCATCTTAAAAACATAAGGAAAACAGCTCCCAAAGCTGAGACGTGTAACTTTCTATGGCCATTTTGGACAGTAAGTTGACAATAGCTTTTTAAAGTCTTAACTTTGCAAATGTTTCTGTTCAGTAACATCTGCTGTCTACTTTCTGAAATTACAGCATGAGAATCTACAGACATCTACATTCTTACAATGTAGAGTCAGTTGTATGATTTCAAACCCACCCTAGGGGAGTAAGTTAAGGGGCCTTTATTGCAACAAAATGTTTTGTTTCCATTTTTAAATGTATGGGAGCTGGGAAGATAACTCACTCTATCTGGTGTACTTGCCACACAAACATGAGGATCCAGTTTGAGCCCCAGCACCCTCTTAAAAAGCTGTGTATGGTGGCATAAGCTTGTAATCCCATTGCTGGGAGGTAGAAACAGGACAGCCATTGGGGTTTGCTGGAGACCAGCCTCCATACTTGGCAAAGCCTCAGATCTCAGTGGGAGACCCTGTCTCACAAAACAACACGGATGACTCCTGAGGAAAAACAGCTGAAGTTGAATATGATCTCTACATGGATGCACACACACGCACAAGCATACACATGTGTACCTCTACACACATGAACACACACACACACACACACACATGTATACACAAAGAAGTGTCAACCATAGCATATAATTAAGTAAACAAAAAGCTAATTGTAGATCCAGATGCATAATCTGATTTCTGTCTGTGAGGCATACTACATTACATTATAAGCAACAGAAAATCCAAATCCACTTTGGCTTGAGGAGACAGGATGTCTTTACTCTGTTTCTGAATAAAAAGCTTTCTAAAAGGAGATAGTTCAGCCTGCAAAAGTGCTTGTTATGCATTAAAAAAAAAAAAAGACAGGTGTGGTCATTCAAGTCTACAATCCCAGCACTATGAGGTTGGAGACGAGGATCACTGGGGTTTGTTGGCCACCCAGCTACCTTCTAGGTTCAGTGAGAGACAGGCTTGGGAATAAGGCAGAGAGTAATAGGACAGGATGTGGAATATCTTCTGAACTCTGCACACGCACAAGGGCATGCTCACACATCCAACACACACACACACACACACACACACACACACACACACACACACACACACACACAAATGTTTCTGTCTCAAGTTCACATAAGGACTCATGATATCATAAGGATCTTCATTTCTTTATGGCTTGGGATGCTGAATATCCTAAAACAAAGTGAGGAATTTATCTTATGTACAGAAATGTCACCAATCAAGAGAAATAATATTTTAGCAAAAAACTAAGTACAACTCCACAATGAACAAAGTATCAAAGTTTGAAGTACAGCGTCTGACAACACAATTCTGTGCCATAGCTGAAGCATGAAAGGAAAAGGAAAAATAGAAACTCATATGCATACTTTTATGAATTAATAATTATTAAATTGCTTCTATTTTATTTTTTAATTCTTTTAAATTTCTTCCATTAAAGCCAGTAAAATTATAATACATCTTAATTCTGTATCAGGGAAATGTTTTAAGCCAACTAAATTGTAATTTTTAATATGCCCGCTTTCAATATTTCAATATTTTAAGTTACTTTAATATTCTGGGGGAAAATAACTCTAGTCCCACTCCTGCAGAACACAGAAGTTCAAGATGTCAAAATGAGTACTTCTACAATATTCCATGCTCCAGAGGACATAAAAAATCCTATCAAAATCAACAGTCATGCAGGGAAAACCTAAAAACCTTAAGAACCAAACACTTAGCCCGAAGTTTACCCCAGCTGAAGAGAGTCCCTTTCTCCACCTGTGATGCAGGGTCTGGATTGGCAGGGGATGATATTTGTACCTCATGTTAGGATCCCTTAGGTCAGGAGATCGCTTCTTCCCCAGTGTTCCATAGAGGGTGTCTGGTTTGGTTAGACATAAGCAAACCCCAGCAGAGCTAGTCTCCAGAGATCCCAGCTCAGAAACCAGAGAGAATCCTTCCTACAGTTTCTGCACATACAACATCTGCTGATGACTCCAGATCACTAACATAGGAGCATATGTGAATGTGATCTGCTGTTACTCAGTGTGTACATTATTAAGATCCCACCTATACCCACAAATCTTCAATCTACATAGAAAATTGTAGAAAAAGAAGAAACAGCAGATCAGAAAGAACTAAGTACATGTATGCAAAACCATGTGGTGGGGAATTTACCTTTGTACTAATATGCTGAAACAAAAATGGTAAGACATGGTCTCTACCACCTCCCAATAGTTCCACCAAATTATAAATTCATCAGTGGATGAATCCACTGATAAAACCAGAGCCATCATAATCCAGTCACATCTCAAAACTCCCACCTGTAGGAGCTGGAGAGATGGCTCAGAGCACTGGCTGTCTTGCAGAAGAGCTGAGTTTATCTCCCAGCACCCACATGGTGACTCACAACCATCTTTAACTCCAGTTTCTGTAGATCTGATGATCTCTTCTGGCTTCTGTTGGCACCAGGCAGGCACACATGTGGTGCACGTACATGCATGAAGGCAAAATACTCATACATATAAAGTTAAATAAATGAGTCCTTTTAAATTGAAAAAAAAAAACAGGAATTCATTTAATTTAACTCAATTTAAAGTTGCCTCATCCAGCCTTGATATGGGGTATGTGTCCAGGCTTATTGCATCTTGTTATGCCATGTTCAGTTGATATCCCTGGGAAGCCTGCTCTTTTCTGAAGTAAAACAGAGGAGGGATGGATCTGGGGGAGAGGGGAGTAGGGGGTACTGAGAAGTGGAGTGGAGGAAGGGGAGGCTGCTGATGTATTGTATGAGAGAATAAATAAAAAGAAAAAAGTTCCACCTAAATATGCCACACGGGGACAAATCCTTTATCACATGAGCCTTTTGTGGGGACCACTTGATATCCACATCATGATGGTCATTATTATCATCATTAATACTATTTATTATGCTATACATTAATATACTATTGTACAGTAACGTTTTAAAGTAGAGATGAAAGATTAAGTCAGAACACCATATTATTAATATACTGCTTAGTTTATGATTGACTCAAATTTTCATATTTGACTAATGGAATACTAATATTTATAATTTATAATATATATATTATAAATGTAAATTTCTGTGTAATCAATAATAATTTTGTGGACATGTAAACAGATATCTATGGTCACAGAAATAGATGAAAAACTGAATGCTATCTTCTGTTAAATAGTCATGTGCACTACTCATAAGATGTCAGTATCTTTCAGTCTCATTTGACCAAGGAACATCAAATTATAAAACATGCATAAGTATTTCACGCCTACATCTACAGCCTAGTCTATGGAAAACATTCTGTAATTAATGAAGGATCCTCTGAAGATCTGCCAGTAAGTAGCAACTTGATGTGTTCAGCCCTTTACAATGCTTAACATAGAGTCATTTGTAATTAGGTTAAAGTATAAAATATTTAAAACATTAATTCAGTTAAGAAATTAAAACCAGGTGTGGTGGTACACACCTTTAATCCCAGCACTTGGTAGGCAGAGGCAAGCAGATCTCTGAGTTCAAGTTCCAGGACAGCCAAGGCTACAAAGAGAAACCCTATCTTTAAAAAAAGAAGAAAAAGAAGAAAGGAAGGAAGGAAGGGAAAAAAACCTGAGGTAAAATAACATAAAATTGTTAGTAATTTGCAGAGGCAGTATTAAAGATAAGACTGTAATTAAACAAATAACTCAGTACTAGCAGATTTTCTGCAGTTTGAGCTAAGGATTATTTAAGTGATGTGTGTGTGTGTGTGTGTGTGTGTGTGTGTGTGTGTGTGTGTGTGTGTGTGTGTGTTTATGGATTATTTCATTTAACCTTCTCAACAACTCTACAAAAGTGCCCCATAGTTGCCACAAGGTACTCATTTTATAGGTGAAAAAGTGAGAATTAAAAAACATTAAATGAATTTCTGCATAGACAAAAAATAATGAGGATAAGATTCAAACGAAATTTTATGACTTCAAGTACCACCTATATGACTATGCAGACATTTCATCATTAGTGGTAGTGATAATAACTTATTCAGGAGCCAGCCTGAGAGGAAGAAGTCGGGAAAACTCAAGGGTTCCCCACTTGGTGAAGTTGATAAGATTGCCTTAATTGACTCCCCAAGAAAAGGAACACAGAAAACAATCTGGCTTGAAAGGAGGTTCTATATTCCAGAGGTGACAGCCAGTGAATAGGAGGATGTGTGTGTCTAAACACATACGGGGGTGGGGGGGGGGGGACAGACAGAGGGAGGGAGGGGTGGAAGAAGGGAGAGAGTAGAAACACAAATTTAAGGGTCCCAGTGTAGGTGGTAGCTGAAGAAATAAATGGACATGACCTTTCCTAAATAAGTATGAAGGAGCAAGGGTCAAGAACGTGAGTCCTTAAGAGAATATTTCAATCTCATGAATACTGTTACATACGCCCAACAGCAAGGTTGTCAGGAGCCAGCTAGAAGAGTCAAGAGTGTCCTGTGTCTCCCTGCCTTGTCTGTTCCTAGTGTCTGAGTTAGAGCCAATGTGTGAGAAATAGAGCTGCATGCAGCAGCTGACTTGCCTCTGGTTTTGTGGACTGATGTCACTGGCCATTTCAATGTATCCTAGAGATTCATGTTCTAAGTTCTTGGAGGCCATCACCTTTTCACTTACTTCACAAACATTTATTAAATGCCAGACACTTTTCACATATAAAGGTACAAATATGAAAGACACACACTCTTCTGGTTTCAAGGCATTTACGGTCATTTCTGGTTACAAAGAAATGAGCAGCTTATTACAACTCATTCTGCGCATGTAGAGATGTGTATAAGATGAACCAGTCATGCAAAAGTAGGAGCCTTGGCTTGCCTAGAGAAAATGAGAAAGACTTGGCAGAGAAGGTAGCTGTCATCCTTCCCCCAACCCCACTCCCTAACCCCTCCTCCATCCCCCTCTTCCCGCCTGCCTCTGCCTCATGAGTGCTGGGATTAAAGGTGTGTCAGCATCACCCGGCTGAGATGGTAGTTCCTGAGTTGAAATTTAAAGAATAAGACAATATTCCAGAAGGCAGAACATACATGCCCTTTAAAAAAGAAAAAAACACCTGACACCATAGAAGATAGTAGAGAACTTTTATTAGCTTTGGTTTGGTGTTTGTGACAGAGTTTTGCTTTATAACTCAGGTTGCTCTTGAACTGACTATGTAAGCCAGGTTATTCTCAAACCCAGATCAATCCTTCCTCAGCTTCCTGAGTGATAGGATTACAGAAATGAACCACCAAGCCCAGCTTACTTGATTTTATATAAAGAAACAGTGTTAGGGACTTTAAAATATCAGAGCCTCTCCATATATTAAATATGTCTAAATATATTTATTTGTTTATAACCTTACTTCTTGTGATACATCCAATTACTGAAAAAGACAAATTCTCCTATCAGAGAAATGTACACTTAGTTTATCATCTCTAGTTTTGAGGATAAATGTATGAAGTGGGTAGCACACATTAAACAAGAGAAAGAGATAAGGAGGACAAATTAGAAAACAGAAAAGTGGGAAGAGGACAAGGATGAAGCAAAAGAAGGAAATACCTCTCTATCCAGGAGATCTGTGCTCCTTGGCTAGCTTCCTTGATGAAGCTGAGTATAAAGATTTGCAAGGACCCATCAACCCAAAGGAGAGAAACAACACTGAGCCTTGATATCCAAGAACCAGTGGACTACACCCTCCCGGATTTGCTTAGTCTTAACCCCGTAGACAATGGGGTTCAGCATTGGTGGCACCACCACATAAAGATTGGCCAACAAGATATGCACATGCCGGGGAATGTTCCGCCCAAAGCGGTGGGTCAGTAAAGTAAAGAAGGATGGAACGTAAAACATGAGGATAACACAGAGGTGAGACCCACAAGTGCTCAGGGCCTTGTGCCGAGCATCCTGGGAGGGCAAACGAAACACTGCTCGCAGAATGAGTGAGTAAGACACAGCAATGAGGATCACATCCATGATGACCATGACGATGGGCACTGAGAAGCCATACCAAATGTTAACAGTGATGTCGGCACAAGCTAAGCGGGCCACCCCAATGTGCTCACAGTAGGAATGGGGGATGATGTTGGTTCGACAGAATGGCAACCGCTTCAGCAAGAAAATCACGGGAAAGATGATACAGACGCTTCTGATGACAATGGCGAGAGCAATCCTCCCCACCATGCGCCATGTCAGCACCGTTGTGTATCTCAGTGGGGCACAGATGGCCACAAAGCGGTCAAAGGCCATGGCTAACAGGATGGCTGACTCCCCGACAAACATTGTGTGGACAAAGAAGACTTGGGTGACACAGGCATCAAAGGCAATGTTGTGGGCATGGAGCCAAAAGATGGCTAGGGCCTTGGGCACAGTAGTAGTAGACAGTAGGATATCTGTGATGGCCAGCATGGAGAGGAAGAAATACATGGGTTCATGCAGGCTCCGTTCTGTGATGATGACCACTATCAGGATGCTGTTCCCAAAGACTGCAGTGACATACATGAGGCACAAAGGTACAGACAACCAGGTATGATAAGCCTCCAACCCAGGGATGCCAAGGAGCACGAAAACTGCAGGGTAGAAGATGGTGATGTTGCTGTGAATCATGATGCCCACTATAGCTGATGAGTGGCTGGCAGTGAAGGAACAGAAAGAATTCTTGAGTGTGTGCAAAGGCTCAAAGGCAGATGCGAACTTGTGAATTGCTGAGCTCCCAAGAGAAAGCTCATCTAGAAGATGGTGGCTAGGGTGTAGAAATGGCTTCTGGCCCTAAGTGTTTCATTTGCACAGTTTCTGTGGCAAGGTGCTTTAGAACCAACAGAAGCTGCACCTGTCTCCATTCACCCTGCCCCCAGTGTCCTCACCCACTTCCACCTTTTAACATTCATTCTACCATTTCCATCCACATAAGTACAAATTGCTCTCTACACAGCTTGTACTTGTTCCTTCCCCGACATTTTGTTCTGTATTTACCTAAATTTCCTTCCCTTCCCTCTTCAGTTTGCCCAAATCTTAGCCTTAAAATAGCTCCTCAACCAGGCAGATCTCTGTGAGTTCGAGGCCAGCCTGGGCTACCAAGTGAGTTCCAGGAAAGGCGCAAAGCTACACAGAGAAACCCTGTCTCGAAAAACCAAAAAAAAAAAAAAAAAAAAAAAAATAGCTCCTCAAGACACACCACTCTGTAATGTGTTCTTAATATATCTCCTTCCTGAAGATATATTAAGTAAACTCGATTATATGTAATCAGGTTGTTTATCTGTCTATTACCTTGAATGTTTCTCAGGACAGCTGCCCTCATGACTCCCTGTGATGGACATGGAGAGCCAGGTGGAAATTGGAAGACAACTAGGACATGTGTTTGTCCACTGTGACCCAGATTCACAGCCTCCCCGAAGGCAGTGAACAGGGGCAGCCAATGAAACTGAAGGAGCAATATTCATCACCCTCCTCATGAACCTGTGCTTCACCAAGTCCCATAAAACACCTTTTGATCAATTCTAAACCTGCTTATCCATGTAAAACCTGAAGCCCACAGACCCCTCTTCTGGTGAAACTCTCTTGACAAGAGGGAATCAGTCTATTCTGTCTGCCTGGCCTTTACCAGCTCCAAGATGGCCCTACCTTCTCCCTATTTGCTCCTTCATTCCAGAAGTAACCAAGCCTCCCTGTTACTAAAACATGTTCTAAATCCCTCTTGTCTGAGCTCTCCAATGCTCATGGTACATTTGTCTCTGATGCTAATTATCTGTCAGCTGTTTGGACAGTGGAAAGGGATAGTCATTAGTAATCTAAATAAGACCTTGAAGAAAACTCCATGGGGCTAGGCATGGTGACAAGTACCTAAAATCCCAGCACTCAGGAAGCTGAGGCAAGAGGAAGGACACAAATTTGAGGGTAGCCAGGGATATATAGTGAGTTCCAGACAGACCAAAGCTAGAGAATAGGATCTTATCTCAAATAAATAAATACTATGAGAGAAAAGAGAAAAAATTAAAACTATAAAGGCATCACATAAGAACTAGACAGACATTCTGAAAAACGTGTTCCAGGAGTCATGCAAAGGAATAAAATCCTCAGTTCAAGAGTCCATCCTCCTGCCTCTGAAAATGTATTTGGTAAAAACACAACCCACTTTAAGGAACAATGGGACTACCAGTGGACACGAGGGAGAAAGCGGAACCAGACCCCAACAGGTAAAGGCTAGGCAGTCTCATCATGTGACACCTCTCAAGCGAGATCTCTTAAACATTTGCTCAGAATCCACTCAGGAGAAACTGAGCTTTGTTGGAATAAGCACTAAAGGAGGGGTGCTGATGGGACTGCTCTGCTTTTATTTTAAGGGGGGGGGTGTTGGTAGGGCTGCTCTGCCTTTATTTTAGAGCACGACACTCAAGTTTATAGAAACAAAAGCCCCACCAGAAAACAAATTCATTTTTCTTAGAAGAAAAGGTATCAGTATTTAAATCTTTATTACTTCTCCCAACTCCACTACTTACTAATTTATCCCTTTTTTTTTTGGTTTTTTTTCGAGACAGGGTTTCTCTGTGTAGCTTTGCGCCTTTCCTGGAACTCACTTGGTAGCCCAGGCTGGCCTTGAACTCACAGAGATCCACCTGGCTCTGCCTCCCAAGTGCTGGGATTAAAGGCATGTGCCACCACCGCCCGGCAATTTATCCCTTTTTTTTTTTAATAACGCAGTATGTGCCAGATACAAGCTCTCAATTAATCCCTTCTCTCTGCTTGCAACTATATGATATAACCACAAGACTGAGATGCCAAGGGCCTGGGCAGCTGTTGATGAGGTCCTATGAAGGATGCTACTGACTGGAGAGGAGAACTGTCACTGAGTGTTTTCCGGGGCCACCATCTCAGCCCTGCTGTTACTCTGCCAAACAACACTGAAAGGTTCTAGGTTCACAAAGGTCAGGGAATGAGGGTCACAAAGAGGCACACATAATCTCACAGAAAGCACTTCCTAGGGCTCTAAAGGAATATTAGCATGATTTTACAAAAAAAGACAGAGAGCCAGAATGGTAGAGAAAGGTCAGGAGCCGTGAGAATGAAGGAGACCATGTGGTAAGTGGGAACTCTGACTTATGGAGCCAGGCCCTGATAAATGATCTCAACTACATCACCTTACTTCTGCATGCCTCTATTTTCTCTTCAGCAAGGAGGGAACAATAATCAACTTGGAGGGGCAACCGTGAGGGTTACAGAGTTCACCCAGACAGCACACCGAGACAGCGAAGGCTGTTGCTGTTACCTTGTCCTCATTGTTTGTTTGGTCTGTACTTTTTCTGAAAGCAAAATGCCTGAGCACCATGCTAGAGTGAACACTGCTCGCTGTACTGAGACCCTATTCTTCACCCAGGTCAGACCAAATGAACGCCTTTCCCAGGAGGAAAGAGGATGTTTTGAACAGAGAAAGCACCAAGAGAAGAGAGTCACCTGCAAGCAGGTCTCTCAGAACCTGGTATCTCAGAACCCGAGCCTAGACTCCAGACCAAGACTTAGCCTGGCTCAGGACCACCCAGCAGACTTCCTTTGAGTGCTTTGAAAACCACCCATCTGTCTCAACAGAAACACAGAGAAAGTGTCTCTGTCATCTACAGAAGTTCCTGGGACACGGTGGCGTGTCAAGGGTAACTGTAGTACCAAGAGAGCTGGAGTAGGGGCCCCAGGGAAGATGTCCAGGCTAGGAATCAATGCTTCCTCATGGCTCCTATCCAGGCTCTGTTCTTTTTCTTTGTGCTAAGTCCTACCTACCTATGGATGTTGCCATTGTCCATTCCTTCCTTCTGGAGTTACACAAAGGCCTTTCATATCTCTACAGTCTGAATTTGGAAGATTGTTAACGTAATATATTAGAATGTACTCACAAATCCCATCCTATGTAATTGTTAGATGACTCTATGAACCGCTTTGTGCCTAGCTGAATTACTTAGACATTTATTAATACACATATCAATTTCACTTTGCCATCTCCCTTGTAAATGCATTTCATATTTCATGTGTTTTTCACCATTCAGACTCTCTAGACTGCACACTGAACCCATGCACCGGCACACTTTATAGCAGGATCACTGCAAGCTGTGCCACAAGAAATTTATTCCTCTTCAACTTTTCTCACTAACATGCATTAGTTATACATATTAATGAGGTACAGTTTAACTATCATACATGCATATGATAGGGAGCTCCAATTTGGAATGCTTACATTTTAATGTATTGGTAGTCCTCACCCTGCTCACAGGCACTCAGAAAGCATGTCCCATATTTTCATAATCTAAAACCAGCATTAGCTATGCTGCAAAGGCACCGAGAGTCCCTTAACTCACTATCACAACTTTAGAGAATGGGTAAGTCATTTTTAATTAACAAATAAAAATGTATGTATTGTATACAACACTATATATACACACAAGTACATATAAAAACATTGTGACATATCTAATAAAGAGAAATATTACATGTATTATTTCACATCTTTTTTTTTTCTTTTTTTTTTTGGTTTTTCGAGACAGGGTTTCTCTGTGTAGCTTTGCGCCTTTCCTGGAACTCACTTGGTAGCCCAGGCTGGCCTCAAACTCACAGAGATCCGCCGGCCTCTGCCTCCCGAGTGCTGGGATTAAAGGCGTGTGCCACCACCGCCCGGCATTTCACATCATTTTTAGTGATAACATTTAAAACCTACTTTGTGAGTAATTTTAAATATATAATATGCTCTTATTAACCACAGTCACTATGGTGCAAAATAGACCCCTTGAATTTACTTCCTCTGCCTAACAAAATACATGTTCTTACTGATATCTAAGCCCTGGACCCCACAGCCTCTGCTAATAAGCATGACCCAAGTTTTTTTTTAATGAATTAGCAGTTTAAGAAAAATGCCCATCTACCTATTGGTTTAATTCTCTATAAATATTTTGGGGATTGTATCCAAATTTGAGTGACACAGTGTGTCATATGTGATGATCATCTGCTGTGCTCTGGTGATGTAGCAAAACTGCAGCAAGTCCTAACTCCATAAGCAACCTCGTCTCTCCAAATGTCGACATCTGCTCTACAAAATGCAGGACAGGGAGACAAACTGAGGTGGATTTTCCAGGTTTGAACCTGAAATCCAGATTACCAAGAAAAAAATGACCTTAACAATTCTCACCTGGGCCAGTGGTGTGGCTCAGCAGGGTAAAAGAACTTGACACACAAGGCTGAGGACCTGATTTAGATCTGCCAAACTTACAGGAGAGAAGCAACTCCTGAAAGTAGTCCTCTGATCTCCACACATGCAGCATCCACGACACATATGCACCACACACATACAAATAATAATAATAATAACAAAACAAAAATATTTAAATAATTCCCTCAGTTTAGGACAGGAGTTCATGTCACTAATCAAAAAGCTTGTCACATTACTAGCATCTAAGAACTATTTGAACAAATGAGCTATGAAACTGGTAAATTAACATTTATCTAATATTTTCCTTGTTCCACCAGAAGGAGACAGTGGTCAGAATCTAGGCTATTTCTACGAGTAGTCCACTGGCACTCCTTTCCTTCTACAGTGATTTGAGCTGCCTTCAAATCTTTATCAAGAACTGATTCCTCATCATATCCTCCTGGTACCTTCCAGTCCCCTCTCTGGACTCCCACTTCTATCTCTCCCAGTATCCACCATAAGTCCAATGATGTCTCCCCACCTAAGTTCTGGCATGGTGCGATCCCTCTCTCATAGATTTTGTCCATCTGACTCCTTTCTTTTCTCCCACATATGCATTTCCTCTCCTAGCTTCAGTCTTTGTCCTTTTCAGATACACACACACACACACACACACACACACACACACACACACACACACACACACACCTGTCCCTCCTTCTGCCACCACCAATGTTCTTAAACTCACCTATCACATGGCAGTATTAGCTGAGGAACTGAGGAAGTGGTAGAGAAAAGCTAAAGGACCACTCATTCTGAGGAGAGAGCAACAATAGGGAAAAGACTGCATACTGATCATGTCGGCTTGTGTGGCTATCACTGCTCCTTGTCTG